TGTTGTACAATGAATATGTGGCGAGATATAGTCGTTTAAAGCATCGATTTACGATCAAGCACCATCTTTTTCGAGCCCTTTAAGTTCAGCCTATTTAAAAACCAAGGGTTCCAAAAGGATTTAATTTACAGATCCTTGTAGCTATTAAAAACCTCTTCAAAATCGTTTTTGAAGAAACACTCTATCGTGAAAAATGAAGAAAATACGTTAAAAAAACCAATTAATTTTTTTTCCGGAAAATTCCATTAGTATAGTACAGTATATTTTGGAGCATAATAATCTACAAAACCGGTATATTAGGTAGTGGGGCGTTATACATTTGAAATTTTAAGCGTTCTTATTTTGAAATCCCATACAACAGAATAAAACATCTGCTCATATGTGTATGGCATGGCAATGAAAATATCAGAGCAACAGATTGAGGATGGTATTCCAAAGATGGTTTGTTATTACCCGTACGCATGAACAAACAACCCGATGAACTTTTGAAAATTATTTTTTGCCAATGCAAAAAAGGATGCGGCGTTTCATGTGGGTGCAGAAAAGTTGGTTTATACTGTAACTCTACTTGTTCTGGGTGCTCAGGTGAAGGGTGCAATAATAGTCCACCAATAATTGAAGAAGATGACATCTCACAAGAGTGATATTAATCTGAATAAAGTACAAGCCTGTGCATTAAGTGAACATTGTATTACAATGGGCCATACGCCTAACTATGATCAAACAGAAATATTGAGAAGGGAAAGAAATTACAACAAAAGACTGTTTCTAGAAATGTGTTTAATTAAAACTACACAAAACACCTTAAACAAAAGAGAAGACATTGAAAATCTTAGTGCTATATACAGTAATCTTCTTTTAAATAAAAGAATAACAATATAAAAGTTCTTCAAAGTTACGCATATGAAAGGGATTATTCCAAGTTCAAATGAGATAAAATTTATTTTTATTTGTATTTTTTCTTTCTTAAATACTTAGTAACATAAACTCTGTTGCTTGTTTAATAACTAATATTATATCAAAATTTGCAATGAAGGTTTGCATAAACATAGACACTTCTTCTGTCAAACTCACCTAAAATAAATATAAAAAATAGAAGAGATATGGAAACCTTAGTAATAAGTTTTGACAGAAATAAAAAGTAAATCAAATTTAATGTCATTATGTTAATGACATAATGACAAAATGTAAAATTTTGCTAATTTTAAAAGACAATTCTCACAAGGGTAAGCCTATTTAAAACATAAGAACTTCATTTTTCTAATGTAAATTTTTTATGTTAATTTTTAGTATGTTTTGAAAAAGAGTAAAATAAACTCGAAAGCTTAGCAAACCTAAAAGAGTTTTACTTAAAGGCCAATATATTGACTACTAAACCCAATATATCCGTATATATTACTCACATAGTCACTAAAGCCCTTTCTAAGAGAATATATATATATTATATATATATTATATATATATATATATTATATATATATATATTATATATATATATATATATATATCAGTTTATTAGGGGGTGCAGTCAGAATATTGGCTGGAATGTTAAAAAAAACACTCTTTTGACTTTTTGTCTAGCTTTTGGAATGGTTTTATTCCTTTTTCAAGACACTGTAATAAGACAAATATGTAAATATTTAAAAAAAACATCACAATTCTTCACTGTAACTTGCTAGTCGTTGAGATTATTTTGTAAAAGCATTGACACTCAACTTTTATAACACACATTAAAATATAAAATTATGGACCAAATACATTCTAAAATTTTAGAGTATGTATGTCTCTTTTACCAAAAAGTTTTACTCAGCAGTTTTGTGATCCCAATATGACCATTTGTCATTGGTGCTTGGTTGCATGACATAGGAAAGTTGAGTTTTATTGTTTTTCCTTGAAACGTATATATGTTCATTATTGTAATACTGACTCGTTTGTTTTTCTATTTTTATAAAGGATATTCGTTTATTGCTTTAAATTATATTATTTTATTCTTGATTTTATTGTTAACCATAAATGTTGTACCGTTATTTCCGTGTACAACTTTACTCTTTGATGATTCCTACTCACTTAGATCTTACTTCCTATAGCTCTAAAAAGCCAATCTTCTATTTTTGTATTTCTTTTGCTACTTATCCATATTTCCAAGTCTTAGTAATGTGTACCATTTCATGTTTTTTCTTTTTCCTTTGTTGTGGTTATTGTACTCTTTCAATCGCTTTTTTTACAATGGCAGTTTTCTTTTCTTATTTTTCTAGTGCCTATTCGTTTTGGATGTTGGTGACCATCATGGCAATATATATTTTGCACACTGCTGCTCTGAACAGATTTATGGTTATGTTGAACCACGTACGTAGATTTTGTCCCAGGAATTCCTTCGCCTTAATGGTCCTCGATTTCTTTCTACGTTTCTTTGTAGAATTAATTACAGCAACCCATTGTTATTTACCGATATTATTAATTACCGATTTTGGCTGTTTTTATTGAGGTCAACATATCTTTTCCTTTTTGATAAAACGTCCTGGTTAGTAACGTGGTCGGTATACGATATCTTCAGGAATCGACGATTAAGCCACATTTCGAAAGCCTCAATTTTCTTGGAGGTAGCGTCCGTAAAAATCCACGACTTAACTCCGTACAACAGTAAAGGAAAGATATAAGATCGTAGTAACCTGCTTTTTATGGGTACTGATAAATCATGGCATTTGAATAGCTTAGCCAACATTTTTTTAAATACAGATCTTACTTTCTCTGTCCTACATTTGATTTGTAGGGAATGGTCCCAATTTTCAGTGACGTTCGCACCAAGGTAGGTGTATGTTTTTACTCTTTATATTGGTTGGCCATTCACACTGATTTTTTCAATTTGCTGTTCCTGGATTGCTAAACCAGCTTGTCGTGCTTTACTGTATCGAATGTTTTATGGTAATCGATGAAGCATGCATAAATACCGCAATCCACATCTCTACATCGTTGAAATAGCACTTGTGTGCTAAACAGAGCCTCTCTCGTACACACTGCGTTTGGAAAACCAAACTGTGTATGGCTGACTTTTTCTTCGCATAGTCTATATATCCTTTGATGTATGATTTTTAGAAATTACTTTAAAATGTGGCTCATTAAGCTGATGATCTGGAAATTATTACAGGATACACATTTTATTTTCATTGGTAGAGCAGTAAACGTTGACTTCAGGCATAGTCTTTGTATTAGGTACTCCGTTTAAATATATGTCACTGAATGTTTTTGTTAGTCGTTGAGTACCGTCGGTGTTAAATCGATTTATGAGTTCAACATATGCATTGCCATGCACAGGAGCTTTGCCATCTTTTAGTTGTGATTGCTTTTTCCACTTCATCTGATGTGATTGGTAAGTGGCTATTACATATGTAGGACGGAGGTTGTTCGCACCTATTATCATCTTGTGTCTTTTCCTATTCGGAAAAGGTACACTTAAATACTGAACCCGAAACAGCTCATCGAAAAGTTGAGAAAATTACAAGTATCTATGGTAATATGATTTATTGATCTGAAGGCATTCTATTGTATAACCTAGACCAAGAGGTTCTCAAGTCAGTTCAGAGCGGAAAGAGGGATTGGACAAAGATGCGTTTTATTACCTGTCTTATTCAATATCTATGGTGAAAATGCCATGAGGATGGCTGAGGGGTAGGTAGAGTAACGGTGGTTGGTAGAAAACAAAAGTGGCTAGTAGTGGCATGAACAAGAAATGCTAGATCTTCTCTGAAGAGTTAAGTTGGAAAGCATTAAAGTTGGTTTTAAAATTAATAAATACAAGACGAAAATGGAGATAAACAGATTCAATACTATTTAGGTGAGTAACCACTTCCAGGAATACCAGATAGTACACAGTTTCAACTATCTAAGATATAGTATAACTAACGATGGCAACTGCGTAGCAGAAGTTCAAACACTCATTAGTATGGCAAAAAATGTGATAAGCCGCCTAACTAAAGTTTGAAAAGATAAATCTATCTCTCAAAAAATAAAGATGAGATTGGTAAATGCAGTTGTATTCTCAATATTTTTATACGGAGCAGAAACCTTGACTCTTCGTGCACAAGAACGCCAAAAAATTGTTGGCTTTGAGGTGTTGGTGATATTAAAAACAGGCTGTCCACAACATGTCTGAAGCGAATTCTACAGTTATTTGGTCACGTAATTCGCAGAGCTGATGATAATTTAGGAAAATTAATTGTTTCTGAAAACGTCCCGAGCAGAATACCAAGAGGACGGTCACCAACCAGATGGTCAGACCAAATTCAGAATTCAGCGGCCACTCATTCTGTGAAAGCCTTAGGGCAGCTAAAGAGACCAATGGAGAGTATAGGAGGAAATCACGATCCTTAGTAATAGCGAAAGACAAGAGAGAGCGTTGAACTAAAAGCTTTTTCAGATGAGATTTAAGATGAGAGGATGTAATCCCTCTGTATGAAAAAGTTAATTAAATTCTTCGGATTGGTTAAATTAATTTGTTTGGTTATTTCTCTATATTCGGTTATTTCCATTGATTTGTTTTCCATTTTGGTTTTTCAGCTCTTTTATATTATAGCCTTATTACTTGTGTATTTTGTGAATCTTTGTTTTTTTTTTCAAAATTAGTTGCAGCTTGCAATGCATTTTTTTTATTATTTGTGTTACATTTTGTACTGTTTCATCGACATTTTATACAAAGGAGGTATGCCTAAGTTCACCTTGCAGTTAATAAGTTCTTGATAATTATTTTATAGTAGTTAGATAATTTACTAGTTAAGATATGCAGTCTAACTTGTTCGAACTAGTAATCGAACTAAATGTCAGAAGTATCGGAGAATAATCTGAAGAGAGATCGAACCAAGATTTTGTACTTGCGGTACACAAGTAAATTGCTTTAGTAACATTTTATTTTTGTTAATAGGTTAATAAGAATTTAATAAGAATTTATTTACCGCTTATTTATATGTTTACTGTTTCACATATTTAAAAGCTATTTTTTATTTTAGGTCTATTGGATGGAATTCAGAAAAATTTTGATTTAAATGAGGTCGTCGAAAACAACGATTTTGAAAATCTGTTATTGTATTACCATTGGGGAACTTTCTCATGCGAATATACATTACAAACCAAAGGGTTTTCAAAACTATTGTCATATCCGAGAGATTCTTTTGATTTAATATTACTTGAGTACACTCTTAGTCCTTGTTTATTTTATTTGATACAGGCTTTTAATTATCCACCAAGCGTAGTAATAACACCATTTCTCTTGCCAACATTTTTATCTGAAAGATTTGGAAGTGATGTTCAGCCTGCTTATATAGCTAGTTATGTATTAAACTACGATGGAGAATTTACATTTTTCGACCGATTGCGAAATTTTCTTTTGTTAAAGATGGACACTCTACTGCGACATTTCTATGTGAATGAAAAAATAAAAGGTTTGTATTCCAAGTTGTAATATATTATTTTATTTATAATAAGATTTATTTTAGAAGTTTATTCGTATATTTTTAAAATGTTTATGATGTTGCAATTCTTAAAACAGTAGTCTCCTTACTCTTAAGTTTCATTTATTACCTTGATACAGTAGACTCGCGATTATCCGAGCATCTTGGTTAACCGAGGCAAAAGTCGTAGCTGGTGAGTCACAATTGCGAACAGTTATGCGCTGTTAGTTCGAGAGAGAGTTTTTATCTGCCAAGTTGGTCATCTCCTTATTTCTAGAAATTTCTGTGTCGCGTTTTGTTTACAATTATTGTTCCTATGTTAATAAGTACAAGCTGGATAAGGCTGAATCAATAAAGAAGGTTGCTTTAGATTTAGGTATTGGAGAAGTAACTGTTGGAGTTGTTGGAAGTGTCAACGGAATGAAATCGAGCAGTGGGTCAACTGAAGTGTGAGTGGTGGAAGTTTACAAGTGGGAGACTACAAAAGATTTTTGTTCTTTATTGTTTTTTTAACATTATGGGAGAAAACATAACAAGTAAAAAGTTTTGGAGTGTTCATGAGTGTTTATCATCTTTAACTAATAATGTTATTTCTAATCTACAGGAAATATCTTTATTCCTAACTCAAGGAACAATTTATTTAACAAACGAAAGTTCAACTTTGTTTAGATTTGTCATATCCTTTACAGCCCAGCTCTTCTACCAACACTATGCTCTAAATAATATCCTAGAGCTTTAACAGAAAGGATGCGCTCAGTGCTGCATGATTGTTATACATATTAAGAATGTATAACAGTTTTTAAGGCATGTAATGACAGATTGGAAGACTAAAATTTACCTCCAAATACCTGGTGAAAACAATATCGAAACGAAAAATATCGCAATCAACCGCGACTCACTAACACAGGTTTTTGCAAATAATAATATTGTAGTGACGAGGCTTAATAATCTGTTGTACCTATATGGATGAAAAACATTTTTATTTCAAATCATTATAAAAGGTGTATAATAAAATACCCAAACGTGCTATATCAGAATTACATTACAGAATATTTTCGAAATGAAAATTCCATAATCAGTGTAACCTGAAAGTATATAACCACTTTAATTAAAAGAACATAGAATGCAAAAAATATTACGAAGTATACATGCTATGTGCCACTAAAATATATGGATAAAAACCTGTTAAATGTTGTTAATTTAAAATTTTGTTACTATGTTATTACAAATTAAGATGTTCAAGTTACCGTTTAAATTGGTAATATGGCGACGTATGACTCTACATAGTTTAAATGGTCCTAAGACAATATCGATAGACCACCAACTATACATGTGTCTAAATTTATTTGTTCCTAACTAAAGATTTTTAACAAAAGGTCCTGTATGTTATGAAACATTTGGTACCTAGAAAATGGTAAAACAGACATATGGGGCGGTTAAAGGAAAAGTGGTGTAAGTCATCTTAGCATCATTTTGAGATATAAAAGGTTTTACTAGAAACGTTGTAATTAAATCTGTGAAACATTTATGAACATGCTTGTGATATTTTTTTATTTACTAAGAACATGTTCAACTCTATTAACATTTTTGTAAAAATAAAACTATGTTAAGGGTAGTTTTTAAGGGTTGAAATGACTTACACCACTTTTCCTTTAAGAGTTTAAAGAGAATGTAAAGAAAGCAAAACATGTTTATTGTTTTTACATTAGAAAATCAAATATAAATTCACTAGTTTATTAGTCATTGTTTTCTTCTACATCAGGAAGTGGTCCAGCTTCGTCATTGACTTTATCAGATGATATAAGATTTCTAAAATAAGAATGGTGGACTGGAGGAATGTATGGTAGTAAATCACACATATCCCGTTTTTTAGCTGGCATTACTGGTCGAGGTTCTGTGTACAGGCAATCCAGTTGAAGATTTTTCAACAATGTTGGTCTTCGCTTCTGCTTGCTTTGAAGGATATTAATTTGTGAAAAGGAAAAATCTTCATTTAATGTTTCTTTATAGAACAGTGAAAATGGCTCATCTTTTTTGACTCTAATCCACTGCATTTTTAACCATGCCACTGGTTGGTTATCAGTATTGGTTTTTCTTTTTGAAATTGATTTAGTGAGATTTTTCAGATCTTTAAAGTCTTCTCTAAGCATTTTTGTGAAAATGAAAGCTTTTTTTCTTTCTACACCGAACTATGACTGAAAACCAATCTTCAGGCACATAAATCAGTTTGCCTTTAGAGTGAGCTTCAATTGAACCAAAGTCGGAGTCGTTTGGTAAGTAAAAGTGTCCGCTTATCATAAACTTGTGATCAATTATTTCGATAGTATTGTTTTCACTTTGAACTAATCGTAACAAGGCCAAGGCAAAATTTCAGTTTCTATTTTGGCCGGTGCAGCTGTCACTGTACACTACAACATGCTTTGAATTTGCTGGACGTAATTCTATGTGCTTTGTGACACAGGCACTGATTTCCTGAGATCCTCTGTTGGTTCATCTCATCCATACATGTAGCCTAAGCCAGATGATAGCTCATGGCAGCCCAAATTGTAAATGTACATATTACGTTTATAGTATGCGATAGATGTGGTTAGTTTTGGGAAAAGTAGGGCTTTCTCTAAGTCAAACGTGAATGCATAGTAAGAATCGTCAGTCTGGGCCTTTTCTGTATCCTTTTTCATAGAAGTAGGTGCCAGCTCGGCCTTCCTAAGATGGAGTTCGTGCTCAACTTCAATCTGTTTTATCTCATTAGCATCTGTTGTTGCAGCTTTTTTTAATTTGTAAAAATCATACTTAGAGCACGTATCTTTTTGTGGTACATGAAAATGAAGGTTGTACTCATTATTGAATGTACGACGATAAATATCACTGGAAACGGGGACAATAACTTGTTCCTGACAGTACTCACTGTACAAACGATACAGCAGGGTAACATTAAGGTCAGAAGATAGATACCTACGATTGAGATTCTTATTCCTTGTGTAGTGCGATTGGTAAGATGGAAAATTTTGAATATGTTTCCGGACACAGTTCATACGTTCTTCAGATATTTTATTAGTTGGTATACCATGGCCTCGATTATCTGAACCAGGTGGTTCCCATTGTTTTATCTTATTAATGGCCCGTGACATTCGGCCATCAGATATCTGAAAGGTTCCAAGAAAGTATTTTTTACATACTTTCGTGGTTTCGCCTTGTTTTTGAATGAAATATTGGTTAGACACTGTCTTACCAGGTCGTGACTGATCCCTAGGACGTTTTATTTCAGGTTTCTTTTGTTTGATCAAACCACAAATAAAAGCATTCTGTGCTGTAAATGATTTCAATTTCAAGAACGAATCAAATGTTTTTTTTCTGTCTTCACATGACATAGGTTCAAAACATTTTTTATTGCAAAAACAGTTGTTGTTTGAAAAAGTTTTACCTGCCACTACTTTTCCTTTTGTTGTCTTATACTCACAACCTGAGTTGCGAAGTCGCTTTATTTTTTCTTTTTTATTTTCATGCCTCTGTCGTTTTCGTGCTCTCTTGGGATGTTGAACTTCTACTTCTCGAATACTTTCGCTTTCATGGTCTTGCAGAGGGACTTCCTCATTTGATTCACAGTCTAAAACAAACCAACTTTATTAAAATAACACTCAAAAACGTTGTTCTATTTATACGAGTTTATTTATTGTTAGTGTAGAGAATTCAATATTTTGAGGTTAGTTTTTATTTTATACAAATAAATATAATACACAAGTTTAACTTACCAATACTTTCTTGTTGAGAATCAAAAGGTACCCACTCCTCATCTCCTGAGTAAGCGAAAATACTAGGCTCAACACTTACATCACTTAAACTGTCGTTATCCACCGTATTGAAAAATCACAACTACAAAATACTAAACAACTGTCATAGGAATGACGGAATAGTGGTGTAAGTCTGACTTGCACCACTATTCCTTCTACGACAACAGAGATTTTGTTTGACTGTCAAGTTTGACATAAAATTTAATGTTGAAGAGTGATATAGTAAATGATATGTTTAAATGTGCTGTTGAGATGAAATTTAAATATGATAAAAATGTTTTTTGTATTTATATATATATATATATATATATATATATATATATATATATATATAATATATATATATATATTATATATATATATATATATATATATATATATATATATATATAATTATAAGTATAATTTATAAAACAATTTTTTCAATGTTCTCAGCATAAATCTAGGACAAATTCACATTACAAACTGCAACATTGATGGTTGATACTGTTATATTATTAAAATTTTTAACTTATTCAATTTTAAATAATGCTGGTTTCTGTCATATTTAGACAACTACCGTAAGTTGCAATGACTGCTTTGTTCCGACATCCGTCCTAACATGTCAATATTGTCATTTTTATCAGTTGTTATCAACAGGTCCTCGAAGACAATTTGTCTCAGGACCATTTAAACTATGTAGAGTCATACGTAGCCATGTTACCAATTCCAACGGTAACTTAAACATCTTAATTTGTAATAACATATAATGTAACAAAATTTTAAATTAACAACATTTAACGGGTTTTTACCCATATATTTTAGTGGCTCATAGCATGTATACTTCGTAAGTATTAACCACATTTTGCATTAACCTTAGTCAACATTTTAAAGTCTATGTTCTTTTTAAATAAAGTGGTTATATACTTTCAGGTTACACTGATGATGGAATTTCCATTCCGAAAACGTTCTGTAATGTAATGGTGATATAGCCCGTTTGGGTATTTTATTATATACCTACCTTTTATAAGGGATTTGAAATAAAAAAATTTGTGGTACATGCTATACAGCCAGCTACAGGAACTTAATTTCCAAGTGGACTATATGGATGATTTAAAATTAATGGCCTCCACTCGAAATCACCCAACTTACCTGCTAAATACTGTAAAAAGTATCTCTTAAGTATGCACTTCAGTTTATATGAGTACCGTAATTTGAATATAGGCAAAGAAAAGGTTCAACCTGAAGTATTCGATAATCAGATAGGCTAAAATATCGAAGCTTTAGGTGAAAATGGCATGTATAAATATCTGGAGTTAAGCAAGGGTAAATTAGCGGTTTTGCTCACATTTTAAGAATAAACATTTCTTTAAGGCACTAAACACCTACTTATATTTCGCGCTTAGCCATTTATTTAGTATTGTTAAGTGGACTAAAACGGATATAGAAAATCTTTAACAAAAAGTACAAAAAAACACGTCACAGAGTCGCAGAAACACGATACTCGTAGTGCAGTAGAAAGGACATTACCGTGATATTTAGGAGGCCAAAAACTTATGGCTATAAATGAGCAATTAGAACGACATAATGTTAATTCAAAAACCTATTTTTGGAATTAGACTGAGACATCTACTTTACATCGCGCGATTTATACAGTAAATAACACAACACAGCTTAAACTGAGTGAACCAGAAATGTCATTAAACCACTTTTGTAAAGACGAAACGATGCGAACCTGGATGGGTATTGGGTAATCCTCTGCACGGGCGACATCCCAATGAAGACAGTCAAACTATGTCGACAATATAGCGTCGAACTATTGATTGACATCAGAAAATATGTTCCCTGAAACAGAAGGTTCATTACTCGCCATTCAGGATCAGGTTATACCAACAAAAAATTACCTGAAATATATCGTAAAAAACCCTCAAGTCCAAAACATCACGATATTATTTTTGTTGGATATATATGAAGTATCAATTTCAAATGATTGAATTATGCTAGAAGCATAATTCTTTTAAAAAATATTAATAATAACAGGCACAAAAAGAGCTTTTCAGGAATATTATATTTATTTATATATATTATTTTTATTTATTTTATGTCCACCATACTGTATATTTAAACTAATTTTTATTATTCATCTTTGCAGAATTTGCCACTAAAGGATTCGGGAAAGATCTAGCACCACTTGATTCCTTGATTAATCATGTATCTCTGGTTTTATGTAATACCATACCAGGATTTCATCATGCGCAACCTTTGGCTCCAAATATCATACCTGTAGGGGGATTACATGTTACTCCGGGCAAAGAATTACCTGAAGTGAGACACAATATCTTTTAAATTTCAGAGTGTAAAAAGAATAACAATTAAACAAATAAGTGGTTATTTATCTATCATTCTCATTAATCAATGAAAAGTAGAAATCGGCACGCCCAACTAACTTAGTTAAATAAATTGAGCTACATATCATTATTCATTTCCTAGATATATATATATATATATATATATATATATATATATATATATATATATATATATATATGATTTATTCAAATTTTAATTAAAACCGTTTAATTTTTAGGAATTTATAAATATTATGAACAACGCCAAGGATGGTGTAATTTTAATGTCTTTTGGAACAAATATACATTCCGCTAACCTTAAAGAAGACAAAAAGAAAATTTTCCTTGAAACATTAGGCCAACTAAAACAAACAGTTCTATGGAAATTTGACAAAGATCTGGATAACCTTCCCAAAAATGTTATTCTAAAGAAGTGGTTGCCGCAAAAAGAAATTTTAGGTAAATATAATATTAGAGTACCTACATATTTTAAGTATATATAGTATGTATATATATATATATATATATATATATATATATATATATATATATATATATATATATATATATATATATATATTGGAATTTTCAGCGGTGAAATAAGTGTACTCTTTTAACAAAGTTTCAAGTTTTCGAAAATGTTTATTTTCATCATCAGGAAAAACTGAAAATAAAGTGCTGCTGTTAGTAAAGCATTCTCGAAATCTATTAAGTGAAAAGGTTGTACAAAGAGAAGGAAACACTTACGTTATTGAGGTTTGTCTTTCGGGGATGTTCTACTTACAGGTGACAATTTCACGCACCACTCATTGATTGAGTCAATAATTAAAATATATAAAAATTGCATGGCGTAAAAGACCAAGCTTGACAAATCATTCTACTTTAACACATAAGAAAAAGACAATTACAAAGTTAAAAATGGCCACGTGTGCCGGCCAACTGTAGAATGTTAGGTTAAGAGTAACTGTCATTCCTGGACATGGCAAATAACAGTACTCCTTCTTATTTCTTTGTCTTATGTAGTACTAATTACACATCAAAAGTTAAGAATGTTAGTGTTTAAGTTGAAAACAAAATTGTAAAATGAAAACTATGAGAATTAACGAAACCTGGAAACTTTACAATGAATCAGTTGTTGAAACATCATTGAATTGTGAATGTGTATCCAAATATAATAGGTAGTGCTCAAGTGATTAATGTCACTCCTTTTGTTTATTGCGTTTGAATTTTGAGCAATGAATGTCATTTCTAAGAAAAGTCTTTTTTTTAATCGGATTCAGTAGCTAAAATTTTGACTGATTCATAATTCATTATATGATATGATATTTTTCTGGATATAGTCTGCTGTCGCTACGATGACTGATTAAGCGACTACCTAGGTTGCGTGTGGTTTGTCCCACATATACCAAATTACAGTTGTTGCAAGGGATCTGGTAAACTACGTTGGAACAATCTTTGATGCTGCTTTTGTCTTTATCCTTAGAAAATATAGATCTTGCAGTTAATGAAGTTTTAAAGACTATTTTTAAATTGGTGAAATCTTTAAAAAGTCTTGAAAGTCTGGGTGTTATGCCTTTTATGTATTTTAGTGAAGTATAAGAGCAATTGGCATGTTTTTCTCCGCTTGTGACGATAATTTGCACCTCATCATTTTGGCGTGCTATGTTCGGGGTCAAACTGAATAAAATTTTGGTGACTAGGTGTTTTGGGTATGAACTGTCGATGAAAAGGTTTGATAGGATTCTTAGGTTCTTCTGATAAAAAGAAGGATCACTGATAGCTATAATTCTAGCTTTCATTTGCTGAAGCAAATTGATTTTGATTGAATGTCTATGGTATGACCAATAGTTGAGGAAACGTCCAGAACTATGAGGTTTTATATGCCAGTCAATCATAAGGGAGTTGTTATGGGTCCTAATGAACCGGGTATCAAAAAAGGTGACTGAGCATAGATCATCCTCATGTTCGATTGTGAACTGTAGTAGAGGGTCATAACTATTGAATACATTTAGGATTTCTGTGGATCCATTGCTAGGGATAGCTAGGATTAAGTCATCCACATACTTTTTAACAAAAGAAATATCAAAGGACAATTCTGGGATAACCATATCCAGTAAATGATCCATCACATAACAGGCCAAAATGGGAGAGATAGTACCTCCCATACACAACATACACAAATAATTGAGATAACAACTGGAGAGTTAAGCGATGCCCTCAAAAGATCGAAAAACGGTAAAGCAGCAGGACCTGGAGACATCCCAATTGAGTTGGTAAAGTATGGACCAAAAATATTACACGAGATGATGGTTAAACTATTTAATAAATGCTTAAAAGGACAAAATATCCCTGATGATTGGAATGTTGGATACATCAGCTCAATATACAAAAAAGGGGATAAACGCAATTGCTCTAACTATAGAGGAATAACTGTTACTAGCTCAGTTGAGAGGTTGTACGGTCGAATAATAAAAAAACGAATTGAATCAGAATATGAAGACATAGAGGAACAAAATGGATTTCGGGCAGGAAGATCGTGCATTGATAATATATTCGTTCTGCAGCAGGTAATTGAAAAACGGAAGGCAAGGAATCTATCTACCCACCTATTGTTTGTAGATTTAGAGAAGGCATATGATACGGTACCTTTGAAAAAACTATTTTATACATTGACGAAAGTAGGTCTCAGTAGAGAGTATGTGGATGCTATCGCAAATATATACAAAAATGCAAGAAGTGTCGTTAAAGAAGGAAACTTTATATCTGAATCATTTCCAATAACCAAGGGGCTTAAACAAGGATGTTGTCTGTCTCCGATCCTGTTTAAAATATATATTCAATCATCGCTAGAGCAGTGGAGAAAACAAGTATCCGGAATGGGAATAGCCATAGGCGGTGGTGAATGTCTAACAGCTTTATTTTTCGCAGATGATCAGGTAGTCGTAGCGAATGACGAGGAAGACATGGACTACATGTTTAGAAAACTAAAGAAAGAATATGAACAATGGGGCCTCAATATGAATATGGCAAAGACAGAGTATCTTAAAATAGGAGATGGTGAAGAAGATCCAGAGTTAGAAATAAGAAACACAAAAACATGCAATGAATATAAATATCTCGGATCTATAATATCTAAAGAAGGCACTACCAAAAGAGACATCGAAAACAGAACAGAGCAGGAAAAAAAGTGGTAAACAGTCTAAACTCTCTACTTTGGTCTAAAGATATTAGACAAGAAACGAAATTGACAATCTATCGAACCTTGGTAGAGCCTATTATGACTTATGGGGCAGAGGTTTGGCAGACAACGCAGAAGGATAGAAAAAGAATAGAAGTAGTAGAAATGGATTTTCTAAGGAGAGCGTGTGGTATATCCAAAAAAGATCACATCAGGAATGAAGATATTAGAAGGAGGACAAATACTGTATATTCCAGTGTAGATAGAATTGAAACGAGACAACTAGTGTGGTATGGTCACGTGAAACGAATGAATGAAGATAGATGGCCAAAGAAAGCTTTAAATTACATAACACAACAAAGAAGAAGAAGGGGAAGGCCTTCAGTTGCCTGGGAAGAAAATGTACGGCACATAATGAGAGATAGAGCCATCAGAGAAGACGAATGGATGGACAGAAAACGATGGCGGTCGAAATGCGAGAAACGGCAGAGGCTGTAGGAACCTCGCTTATATATATATATATATATATATATATATATATATATATATATATATATATATATATATATATATATATATATATATATATATATATATATATATATATATATATATATAGTACCTCCCATAGGAGTTCCTTGTGTTTGTCTGAACACCGTATTATTGAATGTGAAATAGGTGTTATCAAAAAGAAAGGAGATGAGTTTTTTGAATTACTCCAAGCTGATACTACAGTGAGAACATTCATTCATTTTCTTCTTCCTGGACCTCTTCTTCCTTCCACTTTCCCTTGCATTATAAGTCGTAGGAAGTTGTATTTTTTTCCTCTATAAATATGTCCTAGATAACTCTTTTTCTGTTTTTTTACAATATTTAGGAGTTTTCTCTTAGTACATCTTCTTCTTAGCACCTCGTTGTTGGTAACGTGCTCTGTCCAAGAGATCTTCAGCATCCTTTCAAAATTCAGATCTCAAAGGCTTATATACGCCTTATACTTGTAATTCCGAGAGTCCATGTTTCCACTCCGTATAGCAATATGGAATAAATAAACGTTTTTACAAATTGGTATCGGATATCCAACGATAACGCAGAGGAATTTTTCGTTCGTTGAAATGCGGACCTAGCGTATTCTATACGAGCCCTTATTTCGACCTCGTGGTCAAGATCGTTTGTTATCCAGCAACCAAGATACTGTAATTTTTGTACTGGTTCTATATGTTTGTTATACATACGAATATTAATGTCGACATTTGATGCGCGTGTAACAGCCATTACTTTCGTTTATTTGTGATTATATTTAGTCCTAAGCTATCTCCCTCTCTGGTTATGAGATTCAAAAGTCGTTGTAAACCCTCAGCACTGTCCGCAATAATGACGGTGTCGTCTGCGTATCTTAAGGTGTTTACGTATTCTCCGTTGATTTTTATTCCTTGTTCAATATTTTCGAGGGTATTTTGAAAGATCTTTTCGGAATATATATTAAATAACAGTGGAAAAAGTACACAGCCCTGACGAACTCCTCTTTTTATTGGCAATTCTGCTGTCAGACGATTGTCTATTTTGATCGACGCCATTTGATCCGAATATGGTTTTTTAATAAGTGCTACAGTGCTATGGTGTATACCATATTGTGTTAGGGTTTCTATGAGTTCTGTGTGTTTTACTTGATCAAACGCTTTTTCGTAGTCGATAAAACAGAGAAACACGTCTTTTCGCTGATCTCGGCATAATTTTAGTAATATCTGGAGGCCAAATAATGCCTACCTTGTACCAAGCCCCATACGAAATCCAAATTCATTGTTGCCCAGGTTTCTTCCGCATTCTCTGTATATTCGTTGATGTACAATTTTGAGTAAAATTTTCAGAAAATAGCTTATTAGGCTAATTAATCTAAACTGTGAGCATTATTTTTGTGTAATAATACAAGATACTCAAGAAAAATAAAGCTGTGTGCTCTATTTTTCTTTAGTATAGGTATATAAGATTCCAGTGGTATATATTTTGTTAAATAATAGTGTTAACGTCTGAAGATTTTCTTCATTGATAAGCTTTTTCATCTCTGCGTATATTTCATCTGGACCTACGGCTTTTCGTGGCTTTGCCGTATCGATTGTTTTTGTAACTTCCGATGTCAATATATCATGTATTGTTTCTTGTACTGTATTCATTTGTGGTTCTGTTCAGTCTGTTTTAGCAGTTAAATGGGCGTATCACTTACTTTTCTACACTGCTTACGCCAGACCATCTTTACTCAGTGGCGCCGGCTGACGGGTAGTTTAATAACAACAAATGCATTATTCTCCATTCAAATTAGTTTTAACACGAACTAACTGACTGTACGTTTATGAGATTTGACGTCACGAAGGCGATACCGATGAAACTAAGCGCCAATAATGAGTAACATGTTTTACTATTAGATTTTAGTATTTTTTAGTAATTTTCTTTAAATTTGGAACACGCTTTTCTCGATTATTACTGGACACAGAAAGGTGGAAAAAAATCAACGATTACAAAAAAAACTCTTTTAAGTGATGGGCGTAAAAAGTTTGATTATAATAAAACGTTAAACAGTATAATCCAATTTTTCAACAGAAATTTCAAAAAAATAAAAAAAAAGTAAAACCATAATTTTAAAGGGAACATAATTTCGAATAACGTGTTCAAATTTCGAGACATTTTGTCATTAAATAACAGAGAAAACACTGTCCGTAGGTTTTGGTGCACCGATAAAACAGCCTTAAGTACTATTGGATCTTAGGGTTTTTCGAGGCTAGGTTTTATCTTCTCTCTGTATTTGATTTTCTTTAGTTTAATTGAAATTTTACCAATAACAGGATTGTGGTCGGAACCGATATCCGTCCCGGGATATCTTTTAACTCCACTGATTCCATTTATTTAAGTTCTTTATACATTAAGTGCTTTTCTGGTCAACTATAAATACCACTTTTTTATAATGATGAGGAGATGCTCCACAAGACTTTAAATATAGAAGATTGCCCTTCATTGGTAACCTGACAAGTAAGATAACAGCCCTCTTCAAACGATACACTAACATCAGAATTGGTAGGTACAGCGGTATTAAAAACAAAAGTTTGTTTTCTCGTGATAAAGATAGGACACCAGTAATGTACACTACCAATACAATCTACAAAATACCGTGTTTAGGCTAAGAAAGTTGCTATATTAGACAAACAAGTTAATGATTAAAACAACGCATTACTTAGCTCAAAAGTGACTGCCATAAAGGTAAAAACACATGCGCTGCTGTCGAACACTTTATCAACACGGGTCACCACTTTGACTATACTAATGTTGAAATCCTACAAACAGTAAGTATAAAACTAGGCTGTTTCTCGAAATGTGTTATATTACCAACACAAAAAAAAGTAATAAATTAAAAAGCAGATACGAATCAGTTAAGCAGCATCTTACATGAGACCAAGAAGACGTCCAAATTTAAGATGGGACTATGACATAAGGAAACAAGCCAGTACAACATGGCATAGAAAAGAATTTTAAACAATCGTGGGCAGATATGAAGAATTAATATTTAAGGGAGGCTACATCATAATTGGTAATATATGCTGAGAATGATGATGATGATGATATATCTTACATCACAAAATCTTACATCGTGTTATACCATTTACAACTTACGTTGTACCATATACGAACAGCTGTACCAATTTTTTATTTTGTTTTTGTATTCGTTTTAGTCCCAAATAACAGAATAATAATTAAAATATTGTAAAAGTTAACCAACCAAAAAAATCTTGATAAAGGTAATTTTCAAGTTAGAAAATCTACTGTTACTTTGATAATATCAATATTTAGTAAATTAATCGGTAGTCTAGTAACTAGTATTCCCGCCTGTTATACGGGAAACCGATGTTCGATTAATCGCCAGGAAGAAACTTTATGTTTTTATTTAATTCATTACCTTGTTAATTTATTGTTTTAAATATTATAATTGGTTAAAGAATTAATCAAATAAAACAATAAAACACTGAAAACATTTTTTTTTCAAAAGTTCCACAAAATTTATTTAAATCCTTATCACTATAGCTGTTTCGGCAGAGTGCCTTTCTCAAGTGATCTATTTTTGGATGTGTTTACAATTAACAGTCTTTAACAAAATATGTTAAGAAGGGGAGAACTGTTTGTCTCAAGTTGGTCATTCAGAATTAGTATGTCTGTATTTTTTATTTTGTTGATTTCCATAGATTCTAATAAAGATAGCTTAAGGCATTTATTTTGGATGTGAATAATCTGAAATGAGTCAATAAAAGATTAATTTTGGTCTAGAAGATGAAGTGCGTACGTAGAATCTGCTTTTCTATTTAAAATCCCTTAAATCTGTCAATACTGAACATGAAAAAGCTAAATTCCTGAGGACTATAAGTTTGATGTCATTTGGATTGAAGACTCTAGAAAACTTGCTCGATAAGCACCGTAGATAGAGTGTCATTATGTAGCTTGATGTTATCCTTAGGAGAATTTTTTCTTCTTCCATGTGGAATCGAGTCAGTGACATGAACTATCATGGTTGAAATAGACTCAGCTACGACAAACATCATGACCTGGTTATCTAAGCCCACAACAAATCTAGTGGTAAAATCACAGATAGAATGCAATAGGCTCTGACTTTTGTTACAGAATGGACTTCAAAGAGTTTACCGTAATCACTCAAAAGTTCGAAACCATGGAATGATATAAATCTTAATCTGGTGTGTGAATTTTATGTACCTACTTTGGGTAATTGAGGTAATACTCGAGGCTTATTTGGAATAAGCAGATTAAACGAATAAGCAAAAGCAAGGTGACTATCTTAAATCTTAATAGTAGCCAGACACATTCATGAAAAAATCTGGGGTGTAAAATTAGACGTGTTATATTGGATTTATGACTTTTTATGCGATACAAGACCACTGTATTTTATTATTATTGAGTTAATGCCTCGACAACTATGATCATTGGCATGGTACAGTCAGGTACCTAGTGTAGTGTGTGTGTGTGTGTGTGTGTGTGTGTGTGTGTGTGTGTGTAGAGTAATTGTCTTGATACTTAGCAAAGTCGACGTCATTGTCTTTGCTAAGAGATGCTAATTGTATCCGAACGTCTGCGGTCCCTCCGGTGAGTACCGATCGCACAAGGATAGAAATTATTTTCATTCATTAATTTTTAATAAACGAAAATTTCTCCACCCAGATGAGATTCGAACTCACGACATGTAGGTTTAAAGGTAGGCGCTCTTACCACTGAGCCACAGAGGGGGTTTGATCACTGTATTGTATATAAGTTATATTACATCTTTTTAATATTATATTACTATAATTTATTGTTTTAACTCTAATAACATTCATGGTTAATAAGGTTACTTAAATAAAACAAATCCTGTAAATTTTTTACAGATTTTTGTTTTAATTTGGAAGAGGGAAATTTGCAGTATCTGTTTAATTGTTTATATAAAGAAATTTATGTAGTATTTGGTGAATTTATCATTTTTTTATTATTTGTTTTACACATTTTTTTTTATTTTTCAGCCCATCCTAACCTTAAACTCATTATAAGCCACGGAGGAGCCTTAAGTAGCGTTGAAGCGTCTGCCTTAGGGGTTCCTGTCTTAGGAATACCATTTCTATTAGATCAAAATGCAAATATACACTTGTTAGTAGAAAAGAAAGTTGCCTTAAAAGTAGATTATGTCACTATGACTTCAGAAGTTTTACTAGATAAAATTAACCAGCTTTTAAATAATCCGGTGTAAGTATAAAATTTGTATACGTTGATTTTTGCGACCCCGTGTAAACTTTTAAGAATTTCTTTATTTAAACATCTACCTGTCTGGTGCATTTTTATTACGTAGTTGCAATTTTTTTTACAACCACTACTTAAAATACGAGGTCTGGCTATTAAATAACGAGACTGCTTATGAAAAAGAGTTTTATTTTAAAAAGTATTCTAAAATCGAATGCTCTCCTTCAATATATTCGCCTTCCCTCGCCCCACACTGTCGTTTTTTCCATTCGTCAAATCAATGCTGGAAGTCTTCTTTTGTTAGAAATTTTAGGAGCTCCGCCGTTTTTCGCTTCACCTCTTTCATCGACTCGAACCGGATTCCTTTTAAGGCAGACTTGATCTTCGGAAACAGGAAAAAGTCACAGGGTGCTAACTCAGGCGAGTACAGTGGGTGTTTGAGCACTGGAATGCCTCTAGCGGCTAAATAACGCTTCATAGATAGCACGTTATGGGCAGGTGCATTGTCCTGGTGCAAGATCCACGGCTTGTTTTTCCACAACTCCGGCCGTTTCTTACGAACTCGCTTCTCGCATCGTTGCCAAAACTTTCAAATAGTAAGTTTGGTTTACAGTTTGACCCTCTGAAACCCATTCAGATAATTTCGAAAAAAAAAAAACGATTAGCGTGGCTTTAAATTTTGATCTCGATATCCTTGCTTTTTTCATTCTTCGCAATGCAGGAGTTTTCCAGTGCATGGATTATCGCTTAGTTTCAACATCGTATTTAAATATCCAGGTTTCATCGCAAGTGATGATGTTTTCCATTAATTCAGGCTTTTCATGTAACCTCCCAACAAAATCTGAGCAGATCTGTTGAAGGACGAGCTGTTGGTCAGGGGTCAAATTTTTTGGGATCAACTTCGCACAGACTTTCTTCATGTTCAATTCGTCATATAAAATTTTTCTGACAGTTTGACACTGTTTGCGGAGTTGAAACAGAGACAGGTTGACTCATAAACCGTTTATACCATTCAAAAACACGCGCACGAGATAGAGAATTCTTATTATAGGCAACTTTCAATAAATTATAGCATTCAGTTAATGTTTTTTTTTTAATTTAACAAGAAATTTCACGTTAATCCGTTGCTCATGTTTTTCGTCACATATTATTATCTGACATTGTTATTTGAGAAAAAAACACGTTCTTTTATAACCTCTACAGAAAAAATACTACTACAGCGACAAAAACGTGTTTTCGTACTGGAAGAGTAGACACTTCCAACTATCCAATGCTGCATTATTATATTTTTGTGCCAGAAACTTTTTTGTGCACAGTTCCATATAACATTCTAAACAAAATAGTATACTGTGCAACAAGTGCAGAAAGGTACTAATTTCTCATGAGTTTGTAAAATTGTGGTACGAACGCATTAGACTGGACACGTTATGACGGCCTCGTTTAGGGTTTTACCTTTTCAAGGAATGACTGCTTCCTCTTTTTGTTACCGGGTCTGAATTGGAGATTTGTTAACAATCGGTGTATTATGATTATGAAGTTTTGTAGTAAGACCGTGGAGTGGGAAGGTAGTTAGATCACATCTATTACTCAGAGAACGATTCTGCTACTAATATGCTACAAGGGGTTTTTTTATAGGAATGATTCTTATAGCAGCTATTTTGGCTACTTCAGGTTGTTACGTGTGATATATTCAAGGGCTTTGAAGTACTCATCAGGAAGTTCGTTACCTGCTAAATTTAGAAATTTAGCTAGAAGGAAGGGGAAATTTGGTTTTTGGTCCTCGGCGAAGGCATGTCGTTCCTCTTTTGTTGCTCTGTCGTTCAAGCTTTCGATAATTCATAGAATATATTTCGTTGAGAGTCTCAACCCGATTTCGTACTGTGGAGATATTGACTAATTGGTGGATCAGTGCTGATGGATAATCACATCTATTTACCATAATTCTCCTCAGGATTTTCCTCAAAGTTTCTATGATTTTGGTTCATTAGTCTTACATTTAATTTATTAAAGTATATGACTAATTGTATAATAAAGTGATTGATGTGCTAAAAAACTATACTAAATTATAATTTATGATGTTCTTTAAATATACTTCTTTTAGAAATGTCAAAATATATACATATATTTTTAATAATTTTAGGTACGCTGAAAATGCAAAGATAATATCAAAAGTGATAAACGACCAGCCACAAAAACCTCTTGAAAGAGCTGTTTTTTGGGTCGAATACGTAGCTAGACATAATGGAACTCACTCTTTTGATCCAGCTTCCAAATACCTACCCTTTTATGTTACATCTTGTCTGGATATTTATTTGTTTATGTTAGTTGTATCTGTGATTGTTTTTTATTTATTAAAAAAATGTTTTAATTTTGTTATAAGTACAGTTTTTACTAAAAGACAGTCAAAAAAGTTAAAAAAGAAATAAAAAATTTATATTATTAGAGGATAAAAAGTGTTTTATTTATTTATATTGTAATGTTAATACTTTGCATAGTTTGCAATAAATCAGTGCTTTGTCTGTCTTCTGAAGTTTGTCTTGAAGAAACATCTCTTAATGAAGCCAAATATTCGATTTGAATCTTCATATCTTCGAATATGAACATTAATAATTGCACAGTTTGTGTTTTTTGTCTGTTAAGTTTGTTAAGTTGTTTAGAGTACATACAACATCGATTTTTATTTATCGTATGGCAATTACAACACATTGAGAACAAAAATTACAAACACTAGTAATATAGGTATATGACAAACTTTAAATAATTACAAACAAACATCAAGTGTATTAACATAATCAATTGACTCTGAAGTTGCAAACAGGAAGTCTTCAGGGCTACCGTTATAAGATCTTGAGGGACACTCTTCAAGAATGTGGTCGATCGTTTGGTCCTTCCCACAGTCACATTGAGGAGACGGATTCTTTTCCCATTTATGTAGCATGTATGCACATCTGCCATGTCTGGTTCGGATCCTGTTTAGAGTGGACCATGTTTTACGTGGAAGATCAAAACCTGGTGGCTTGTGGGTAATACAGGGCATGTTATTTTGCCATGCATTCCATTCTTGGGACCATGCATTCATGATGTTGAACTCCTCATGTATCATTCTTGCCGTTTTCATTGGTGGTTTTCTAGAACGTAGACGGGTATTTCGTGCATCCTCGGTATCTTGGTGGATTGGCAGGTTTATATTGTTTATGATCTTTTTGTATTCACGTGTAAGTGCGTCAACTCGTCGTAAATGTGAAGGTGGAATGTGACTTAATACTGGAAGCCATTGGGTGGGAGTTGATTTAATTGTACCAGATATCATCCTCATAGTGCTGTGCAGCTGAGTGTCGACCTTTTTTACGTGTGGACTGTGTAGCCAAACTGGGGCACAATATTCAGCGGTCGAGAAAACAAGGGCTAAAGCAGTAGAGCGGAGAGTGGAAGCCGATGCTCCCCAGGTGGTACCGCAGAGCTTCTGTATAATGTTATTTCTTGTACTCAACTTTTGGGCAGTTTTTGTTAAATGCTCTTTAAATGATAGCGTTCTGTCTAGTGTTACGCCAAGGTACTTCGGTGTTTTGTTGTGGGAAAGTGTGGTATTTTCAAACCGTATGTTGAGTTCCTTTCCAGCAAGTTTATTGTTCAGGTGAAAGCAACTTACTTCTGTTTTGGATGCATTTGGTTGAAGCCGCCACTTGCGAAAATATTTGCTCAATATATATAAGTCTGCCGTCAGAACTTCTTCAGATGTTTCTAATGTTCGGCATTGTGTAGTGAGGGCCCAGTCATCGGCGTATCCGAACTTTCTTGATTGTGTTTCTGGCATATCTGCTAAATATAAGCTAAATAGTAATGGAGAGAGCACTGACCCCTGTGGTAGGCCATTTTTAAGTTTCCTTGGTGGGCTGATATCTGTGCCCATCACTACTTGAAACATTCGGTCGTTGAGCATGCTATCTATTAAACGTGCTATTTGTTTACAGGAAATTGCACGGAGAATTTTGTGCACAACCTCGATAATAAACTACATATTGAGTTGTAAGTTATGGACTATAAACATCTGTATAGACTTTCTAATAAACTCTTGGTCATCTTTTGCATTTTAGAGAACTGACGAAGCTTCAGAAATATAAATCGAAACGTCTTTTATGAAACCAATAAAGTAGCCGATTTCTTTTTTTTTTATTTGCCAACCTAAATGACCGATTAAACCTATGCATTCATTAGTTGAATACTTTTGAAAAATAAATTGACGGTCGCACCCTTTACAGTGTCTACTTATACAGAGAGATTTTTCGTGACCATGAGACAAAAATATCGCCCAAACTGTACTCAAGTATTCAAGAGATGCAACAAACTTAACGAAAAACTTGCGAGAACTGAAGCAAAAAAGATCTCCTGATTCAATGCAGAAAGACGAAGAGATACCAAAGGTTCTTAAATGATCGCACCGACTACCTCATGCAGTCCTCCATGGGCATATTATCCAACAAATTGAAAAAAACAGCGGGTGCCATCAACACACGATGGCATCGATTATTGAACGATTATTGAACATTTGCTCGGTTCATTTAAATATAAAATTCATTCATCGACAAATGTCAAACATACTCATCCGAACTTGGACCTCTCCTACTTTCCAATATTTTGGATCAATATGAAGCTTCTCTTTTAAAAAAAATATACCTTCTTTCTAAACAATTCTTTATCTCACCTCCAAACAAAATTAAATAGTCTAGGGTTCACTCCTTTCAGTTGTCTACCATTTCATGATAAATGGATTAAAAATCTCACAACCATCCAAATCACTAGAAATGAATTAAAAATTTTATCTCTTGGACCTAAGTGCGGACTACAACCAAAGAATATAGACGCTTATAGAAGAGCAGTTCAAATGGGCCATTTGGTTACGGTTTATACGTCAAAACACTCCTTAAGAGGGTGGCTGCATAAACCCAAAGCGTGGTGCCGTGGCCGTCGGCTTAATGAAATATGTAGTTAGGGGGAAGTGGGAAAGGAGTACGAACCGAGCTATTTATGTAACTTTGCATCTACGCCTAAACAAATTTCGATGCCATTGATTTGCAAACTGTCTTTTTTTTTGTTTTTTCACAATAAAATCTTTAATTTTAATATATTAAATTGTTAAATTTTTAATTTTAAAACTTAAAAATGTATGATATTTACAATATTCAAAGTATTTATTTTTTTAATTTCATAACTTTGAATTAAAAATATTCATACACATATCCTACATTACGAAACACCGTCACATAACTTTTTATTACACTGTTTTTCTGCCCAAAAATTAACGAAACATTTGTAAAAAATTTCAAAATTTTTCAACCAAAAATTTAATTTTTTCAGGACTTTTCGTCAAACTTTTTAGATAATTTTTCAAATGATTTCATTGAACAAATGTCCTGTTCAAAAAAGTATTCAATGAAACTTTTTACTAAATTATGAAATTTTCCATTTCGCCGAAACTTCCATTTCATCCATAATTTTTTAATAAGAACAAAAAGCATTCCTGATTTATTTTTGAAATATTTAACAGTAACTTTTAATGAATAGTCTAGTTTTTAAGTGTCTTAAGTTTAAGTTCTAGAAAGTTTTTACGCTGTATGGGTACTATTTAATCTTTTAAAATAACAACTAGTACTAAAACATAATTAACTACAAAAGGTATTAGTAATATTATTAAAAGGAAAAATAATAATATTTATAATATTAATGACATTCTGTGTATAACTTAAAATATAAAGCAGTGAAATAAAAGCATAAAAAAAATTGAACAAATAGATAAGGTATTGAAGAAAATAATCTAAAAATTGTTATAGCTGAATGTATTCGCTCCGTGCGTGACCATGGTAGGGGTACCTTGAAACGATGCCAGCGTGCTTAGCGGCGAATTATGACCTAATTGGACCTATCTTTTTACGCATAAATTTTATCAAAAATGTGTACAAATACATGTTGCGTATTTAATTGTGCTAATAATAGCAAAAATATTGAGTGTAGTTTTTATAGGTTCCCAAAGATTACATATAAATTAAAGAAAAGAAAAAGATGGATTTGTGCTATTAGCATGAAAAAGTAAATATCACATAATTTCATTTTTATGCTATTGAAATAGGAAAAATTTTAATAATTTACCTTAAATAATATTTCATAAGACTTCAAGCTAACTGCCTGATGACTTTAGCTTTTATATCATAACTTTTATTATTATTGTTTTTAATTATATGGTCTTTCACGTGAAAAACTTAATTTTCCAGTACTAGATTTTTCCATTTCTTTTCCGTTTGGGTTGAAAAGATATATTATGATGAATTGTGAGAAACCCAGTTTTAATACTACATTTATTTTGTACATAAACTGAAAAAAATATAATTAAAAAACTAATTATTAATAATTGTCAATTTCGCATGTATTTAACAATGTCAAACATATGTCATATGTTTAACCTGAAAATTGGGGGGTCCAAAACTGTCAGATGAAGGCGGTAGGTGTCGCGTGAGTTACGCACGGAGCAAATATTTAAGAAATTTTTTATTCTAAAATTGAAATTGCTTTTTTACATTACCTATTGATGACCTATTGATAACTAAAAATTGTAATAACCGTTGTCGATGTGATTTACAAGAGTCGTCAATGATTAAAAATGATGGATTGATTTCATTTAATTTTTTTTATACCATTTAAAATCAACTTACTGACAATTTCCAAATAACAAACATTTTTAAACTTAACATCAAAAATATCAAGTGAAATATGTATTACTTCTGTAGGTACGCAAAGATTACCAAGTTTGTTAGTATTTTGAGAAACTTTATAAGCTTTAAAAAATAATAAAAGATCTGTCATTGAAATAAAATTAACATTTTTATGAACAAAATAATTTTCACACTTTTCACAATTAGTTTTTTTAGACATTTGTATGCAAAATATCCGGCAAGGTACTTGAGTGAATTGAGATAAAGAGAAGTTGAGCCAGTCGAAGATGCATTATTTGATACTCTTTCAAATATTGATAAACATTTAAAACTCGTTTCTGAAAGTTCCTCATTGATGGTCAAATTTGTATCAAATGATTTACAATCAAAAACTTCATTCAAGCTAGAAGTACTATCTAATTCATCTTCGACAAAGTCATCAACTTCCTTATAAGATATTATCGAATCATCATTATCGCTATTACAATCTTGTGCATCTGAAAACCGTGAGCATTTGTTTAAAGGATCATTAGAATAAATAGTATTCTTAATATTTGCATCATGTTTTTCTGACATCTCATCCCCTGCATCCATAAAAGCGCAAACCTCTAAATCAGTTACAGAATCAATACGTTTATTATTAAAGCTTATTTGTCCATCATTTTTTTCTTCAATAACTTCATTTAATTCATCGAATGATTTTTGTAAATCAATTAAATTCGGAATTGCTATATAGTAGCGTTATAGTTTCATCTAATTACGTGAGGAGGGTCATAATTAAAAAAAAAAATTTCGACCAAATTTTTCAATGGATGGTTTTTCTGGCGTTATTCCAAATTTTTTATCGCAGTTTGACTGCTACGGCCGATATCGCAAACCACACTTTTAACTTTAAAACCGGCTTCTTCAGAGAAATCTAAATCATTTAGAATTAAATTGCTTAGTTTTTTTCCAGGTACACAGTTATGGGCGACATAGTACTTAATAGATTGCCTCCAATCAGTTTGTCTACCTCTTAACATGAAAACTAAAACGTGATTACCTTCTGTTGGAGAGCGACCTAGTTCTCCCAAATATGTGAACCCCTCAACGATATCTTTTTTAGTATTATAATCTAGCCACTTTTTTATGCTCATTTCATCCCACGATAAAACACATTCCTTTTCTTTGGAGTGCATTAGCCACGATTTAATTTGTAATAATGTCAACAAAGTGTTACATTTACCGGGTTTTAAATCTAACTTATTAATCCAAATTCTAATGTTACTTACGCAATGGAAACTTAAAATGACGCAATGAAAATTACGCAATTTTTAACGGACATTTTTTCACAAGCATAAAACTACAAGAACAATTTCAACATAGTAGACTTTTTCCAGTTCAGTGAATTCATAAAAAAATATCAGTTACCAAGAGAGTATGTCTTAGTAAGTTTCGACGTTGCATCTCTGTTTTCTAATCTCCCACTCTCTAGTGTTGCCACGTCACTCCGGAACCATTGGAATGAAATCCAACCACACAGTCCTGTATCGTGGAAAAACATTCTCGGAATTATTAAAACTGACGTTTGACATGACTTATCTAATATTTAATGACAAATTCTATCGTCAAATTTTTGAAACTCCAATGAGATCGTCCATTTCCCCATTTTAGTTAATTTCATACTCGACGACCTTATCAATGTGAGTATTATTAATACAGATTCCCTTTGTAAAGCGTTATGTCGACGACTTGATCCTAGCAATACCACATAATAAGATTTTGAGCACTCTATCAGTCTGCAATAGCGTTGATCCTCACCTTCAATTTACATGTGAATTGGAGGTTGATAATAGCGTACCATTTTTAGATATGCGAATCATACACACACAGGATAACACATTGGACACCACGTGGTACAGAAAAGAAATGGCGAGCAACCGTGTCTTAAATTACCACTCTACACACCCAATGATACAAACATAACGTTGTACAAGCTCTTAGCTTTACAGTACTTATGTTGACTCATACGCGGTACAATCGAGAATCTTTGGATTTACTCAAATTTTTTTTTATTGATAACTCTTACCCCATATAATCTAATCAATAGTATACAGACGAACAATTCCTTGATAGTCAATTCCCCGTTAACCCCAGAACGAGCCACAAAATATGCTTCTCTTTTCCATTTCCCCCAAATTACGAACTAGCTTACTAAACTATTCAAAAACTTACCCGTCAAAATAGCACTAAAAAATACCAAAGCCGTCGGAAAGTTATTCTCAAAGTCTAAAACTCCACTAAGCCCGTTCCTCCTCCTCAGTCCTAATCCCTTTTGGGATGTGATGACACCCTCACGCCTTCACAGTTTTTTTACGATTTCCCTCCATCCTTCTCTGTCCTGGGCTAGTTGTTCGGCTTCATGTAACCCTTGCTTAATCAATATTTTTGTTTGATCTACCCAAAGGCTTGGAGATCTTCCCCTAGGTCTTTTTTCTTCAACTATACCCTTGACTATCAGTTTTTTCATCGTGCCTGTTCTTCTAGCAATGTGTCCAAAATACTGCAAATATCTCTGTTGTATTTGTTTAAGCAATCTCTCCTTTACTTTAAGTTGTTCTAGTATCGATACGTTAGTGCGATGATCAATCCAGAATATTCTCAACATGCGGTGGTATACCCACATTTCAAAAGCGTCCAGTTTATTTTTATCCGCTTTCTTTAAGGTCCACGTTTCGGATGCATATGTGGCTATGGGAAAAATGAGCTCCCTTACCAGCCTTAGTTTTGTGTGTATTGTTATGCTAGAATTTTTCCAAATTGCTATCAGTTTCATCATGGCTGTTCTAGCAATAGTCAATCTTCTACGTATTTCTCTGTCACACCCTTCGTCATTTGTTATTAGGGACCCCAGGTATATGAAAGTATTTACTACTTCAAAGCCCCAATTTCTTTAATGTGTTGAAGATTATTTCGAGCTCTGTCTACTATCATGATTGTCTTACTCATATTTAGCTTTAGTCCATATGTTTTGCTTTTTCCCTCCAAACATTTAATTATGTCTTCCATTTCTTTCTGATTTGCCGCGATTATTAAAGTGTCATCAGCATATCTCAAGTTATTGATTTTTTGACCTCCTACTGATATTCCGCCCTTCCATCCGTCTAGTACCTTTCGCATAATGTGTTCGCTGTAGATATTAAACAGAGTTGGCGAGATTATACATCCCTGTCTGACACCTGCCTCTGTTCTGAAATGATCGGAATGGGTGTTGTTTATTTTTTACTGTGCACTTATTATTTTCATATAGACTTCTAATTAGTTGAATTAAGTGGTGGAGTGTTCCCATTTCCGCTAGTATGGACCATAGCTGCTGCCATTTTACTTAATCGAAGGCTTATGTGTAATCTACAAAGCACATAAGCATAGGAGTATTGAATTCACGAGTTTTTTCGTGTAATCAGTGAAAGATAAATTTTTTTTCCTTTAAGTTTTTGCAGATACGATTTTGTAGTGTGTGACCTTCTTAATATGTGTTGGATTTGTATTTGATAAATGAATAAACATATAATATGTATACAACATTTTATTTAAAAAAAAACAAAAATCTTAACTGAAATCCATTTCAAGTTTAAATAGGTAAAAAATACTGCTCTTTAAGAAACACTACAATATCAAACAAAAGTTTATCCATCACCACTTATTTTGATTCATGCAACGAAGACAAATAAAACGCACTAAAGCTATTTAGCACTGTAATACCACTGCTTGTTTCTTATTTATATTTTTTTCATGTCCAACCAAATACCGCCAACGACTTGTGGGATAACACTGAGCGGTTGCAACTTTAAAGGCTGTATAGTTTTTTTATTAAGAGATACTTTGAAGTCTTTTAGAATGTTGGTTAAGGCCACTTTTGTCTCCATCAAGCCGAATCGCATACCTAGAAGATAAATAATACAAATAGTTTCACTATTTTGCAAAAAAATCCTGAATCAATTTTTTATGTTATTTAAACAAAGTTATTATTTTTGTAAGGACAAATTGATTAACTAAAATATTTACTCATACAAAATAATCATTTAATTACACAAAAAACAGTATATCAATAAAAATGCCTAAAAGATTACAAATTTAATAAAAAATTTATTTAAAATCCTTTATAAAAGGTATATAATTAAAACACTCAGTCGGGCGTTTTAATTACAAAAACACCACAAATTTAATGTTGTACAGTTTGTACTTTTTATACACAGCATATTATGTTGAGCTTACATAATGAGATTTGTTAATCATGTTTTACAAGTAAAATGTTCAAAATTTCAAATAGAGTACAAACCCATGAGACATTTTTAAGACGTCATTTGACCCAGCCAGCATGAATCACATATAAATCAATACTAAAATATTTAATAACATCTTTATAAACTATGCCGCCAATTTTTATTGACACAGGTAAGTTAAATTTACCACTCAAGGGAAGGGTATTTTGGTCAAACATATTTGTACGGCATTTGTAGCTTAGGTAGGTATAATCGGTTCACAATTTGTCGATAGCTCACTACAAGTTTAACCCTAATTAGAGAACTGAAATACAGAGAGGATAGGTAATACGATATAATAGTAAAAAACCAATGTGAAACTGACGGTTTAAGATGTTTTCGACTAACCCACCTTGTATCTGAAGGAATGCAATACAGCAATCAACCTTATAATCCGATTACTAAGGTATTTTGGTGACAGATGAACGACCACTGTCGTAAAGTATATGCTTGAAACATTTATTTAAACTTGTAGCATTTGCAATTTCATTGAATCTTTGGTGTATATTGAAATCCCCTCGTATATGTAATATATTGAAATCCTCTCATATATGTTTAAAAAACGAAGAATTTTTTCCATTTTGTTAGTTCGTATCTTTCAAGTTAAAATACCCAAAAGTGTTTTCAATTATTTTACGTTGCCAAGTAATATAAACCATTTAAGAGTTGTTTATTATTTTAAAGATATGTAAGTACTTTCTCGGTATTTTCTTTTAATGTTTTATTTGAAGTCGCCTCATAATTTTTGTACGTCATAGAAATGGAATCTTTTACGTTTTAATTTTCGTTGTGTTTTGTTATTTTAGTGTTTGTTTATTTTCAAGTTAATTGAACGAAGTCTTGAGAGAATTTCGTCATTCTTACTTGAGTCGTCGTAGTCTCAGGTATGGATCTAGATACTTACTTGGATCGCGGTAAGCTCAGGTGTGGATCAATTCTTACTTGGGTCGTCGTAGTCTCAGGTATAGATCTAAATTCGTACTTGAGTCGTCGTAGTCTCAGGTATGGATCTAGATTCTTACTTGTGTCGTAGTCTCAGGTATGGATTAATTCTTACTTGGGTCGTCGTTGTCTCAGGTATGGATCTGGATTTTTACTTGTGTCGTAGTCTCAGGTATGGATTAATTCTTACTTGGGTCGTCGTTGTCTCAGGTATGGATCTGGATTTTTACTTGGGTCGCGGTAAGCTCAGGTGTGGATCAATTTTTACTTGGGTCGCGGTAGGCTCAGTATGAATTTAAATTCACCGTCGAATTTGTAGTTTTCTGTTTTTGGCACCTTTTTGTGGAAATGTGTAGCAATGGAAAATAAATTGTGTAGTATACCAGAACATGGTAGAATTTTGAAGCAGTATATAGGATGTCCCACCAGCTTTGTTGTCGTTTGCCTCCTTGATCCAACCTCATCTACGTCAGATCTTTGTTCCTGAGTATGGAAATGGTTTCCTTTTGTTCTAGTTGAGAGTTTCGTCCTTGCAGCTCCAATCCCAGAGATAGTAGCAAGTTTTTCAAAGTTAAGTGGCAAAGTTTGTGAATTAAAAGGTAACATTATGTGTTCATAGTAAAATAGCTTTTATTTTAAATAACAATAATTGCTTTCATTAAAATTTAAAGGATATATAATAATTAATAAATTATAAAATTTTAGAGTTTGACTTTAGCTGTCAATTTGTGTGTTTAGTTTTTTTTTAATTTATTGTTAACTTATGACAGCACGTTTTATTATTTTTTGATTTTAGTTTATTTTATTTTTAAAGAAGGTTAACGTCTATACCATTTTGAAAAATTTGGTCCAATCTTCTTTGTAAATAAATGAACAAGTTTTTTCTTTGTATTTGTGTATTTTACAACTATTTATATAGTTTATTTTTTATGGCATCTGTATTTGTGTAACTGTTTGTGGTAAGACACAATAAATGTTAAATTTTGTTTTCTTAACATTTTGTTTATTTTTTTAACTAACCCATTTTTTGAGTTTTATTTGAAAAAGGTATGTTTTTGATGTTTTATAATTATTTCCCTAGTTGCAACTAGTGGTTGTAATAAGTATAATTAGGCACCTCAAGTGGCGCCCTATATTAAATTACTAGAGGTGTTTCCTGTTTCTTTTTGCTTTGTTTGTTCCAAGAGATTTATAAACTTTTATTTCATTTGTTTGTAGTTGCCCCATTCCACCCCCCTTATCTTTTACTTATCCACGACCCCAGCTCTCCTAACAAACCCTGAGTGCCGTTCGCACAAGTAGCGATTATTTTGCTTGCCTTATCTCCACCCACTTAGTTTCTGCCCACAATTTTATACCCCTTGTATTAATACCCCAAGTGGTAGGCAAAAATATCTTCGTTACAATTTTGGCTCCCAACATGCGAGGCTTTTGAATATTTCTGCGTTTTTTAGATTTTGATTCCTTTTCCCGAAGAGACATATCTTTTTCAGTTCTTCTCTAGTTTTCCGCCATTTATATGAAACCCCGTCTTTCGAATAGTGCTCCGATGTCCCACAAACAGTTTGTTTATGTATTTGTATCAACATATGTAATTATGTATTGTTGTTTTTTCTATGTATTGTAAGTGTATTAACATATGTATTATTGTATATCAACATTGGTATTTGTGTATATTAACATATGTATTGTTTTTTATGTGTATTGGTAAATGAAATATTTAGAGATTGAATATTTAAAACGAATTTTAAATAATGTTTTGATATTGAGAAGAATTTTAAGTTATTTACAGTAACAAATTATACCGTTATTGTTACATTTATTTTTGATTGATTTGACATACTTTATAGAATAATCGTTTTTTGTAATTTTGTTTTGTCCGGTCATTTTGAGTAAATGTGTTTATTGTTTGAGTGACTTTTCTTTGAGCTGATGAGTATAGTTGTGTTTTGTCCTTTGTCCTGTGTCATTTCATTGTTTCCTTCTAGGCCCTCTCTGACGGCGTTGTTAATGCCACGGGCTAGTAGGAGATTCTGAACGAGAATTAGTCCCCTGTGTCCCCCTGTTGTTTCCTAATTAACCAGCTTTGACGGCGTATGTAATGCCACGGGTTAATAGAAGATTGTGTTCCCCTGAGTCCCCTTTTGTGTTTCCTGTCTTGTATCTGAATGATGACAAGTGTAATACTCGTGATCGGAGGTGCTGTTTAGTTTTGCCTAGGAGCAGTCTCATTTAGTTTTCAGAACAAGAGCAGGTTTTTTATTTTGTGTTATTTTGTGTAGCCCACTCAAAAGTCAAGTTTTCAATATTACTAGTATTTTTGTCTCACCCTGTATGTGTAGTTTATCGAGTCTATTGTTTTGTATCCCCCTGTATGAGTAGTTCATTAAGTCAGTTGTTTTGAACCAGTTTTTTTAGTTACATTGTGTATTTGCTTTCACCCAAACATTGTTTTAGTATTGTTGTCCCACCCTGTATGTGTAGTTCATTGAGTTCGTTTCGAACCGTTTTTTTTTTCAGTTATATTGTGTATTTGTTTTATCCAGTTTTTCGTTATATCAAGTCTATTCCTATACCAAGTTAACTGCTACGATTTCCATTTTCTTTTGTGTTCAGTCTTCGTAAAATTACGTTAATAAAATATTAATTTTTTGTGAATTAAATAATACGTATTTAGAATGATATAATCATTCGAAAATGCTTGCCATGCGATTTTCTTATTCTCGGTGTTTTGAATGGTAAGATAATAGTTTGTTTATTTCCAGATTCGTCAAAAGTAAATATCCCATGTCTGAGAAATGAATTTTTTTACGTTTAAAATTCATAGGCAAGACTTTGACCTTCGTATAAAGTTGCTCTTTTTCCTTCTCTGTGTTTATATAATTATTGAGTCTTAAATTTGCTGAGATAATCTGATGACCCAATTTCGTGCGAAAATATAGGTCAAATTTTTGCTTGATAGATATTATGAAGGTTTTATAGTCCAGGCAATGTGTGAAAATGTTTAAGCTTCGAAAAAGAAAATATTTTTCTGATTTTATAGTCCATGCTTAGTCCATGTGTCCTTATTTAGTAGACGAGAGGGACAATACGACTTATGGCTAAGGCCGATTTGTTAGTGACAAAGCGGAGTATTGTTACTTTCCTTCTGTCTGTTAGTCCTGTATTTCCCTGTGTTTCTCCCTAGTTCGTTTTTGTGTACAAGTAAAAGAGAGTGATGATACGACTTCCTGTATTCCTGGCTAAGGCCGATTTGTTGAGAATATATTGCGGAAATATTGTTATGTTTTTTTCTGTCAATTAGTTTTGTGTCTTTGTGTGGTCAGATGTTGTGGTAGAGCTATGTTGATGGTCTAAAATGTTTTAGTTTGTGATTTGAGTAATGTGTTTTTGAAATATTATGTAGGACGTACAGGCATGTGACCTGGATTTGTGTATCCTTGGATATTTGTGTTGTTGAGTAAGACTGCGTAGCAGCATCCCCTTTCCGTGAATTATTAGAAAGGATAAGCCTTTCCATGTGTTTATGTCAGACTATTGGCTTAGTCAGACTATTGCTGCTGATAACGTCAGCATCTAGGGTTCGTTATTCCCTTATATCTCATTTTGCTTGTCATAGCTGTAGGGCCTTAAATGTTGATTATAGCACAAAAAAGCAAAGAAATCAAAATTGTATACAATGCAATTTCCTCTATTTCTATTTATGTACATTTATGTCGTAAAGTTAATAATAAACGAGATAATTATTCAATAATTAGGGTATACCTGATTACTATTTTCCCTCTTAACTCGGAAAATATCTACTGTGCGAAAAAATTTGCAAGGAAGAGATCGTAGGAAATCGTAATTGCAACAACTTAGGTCCATATCATTTAGTCGAAAACTCAGTTAAAATGGATGAGATACTGAACAAAAACAATTCCTTCATAACCAATTCCCGCATGGTCTTACATTCGTGCATTTACCGTACACGTACGACTTCATATATTAAATTTAGCAAACAAAATTGTATAAAATATATATCTCTCAATTTTTGTTTATGTATATTTATGTCCTAAAGGTAATATTAAACGAGATAATTCAATAATTATGCTTCCCCCACCCTCTTTCACTATTTTTCCCCTTAACTCGGAAAATATCAATCGCACGAAAAAATATGTAAATAAGAAATTGTAAGAAATCGTATTTGCAACAATTTTAGTTGTTACCATTTTTGTCGAAAAATTAAAAATGGTGAAGATATTGAGCAAAAATGGTTATCTTTTAAATTGAAGATGGCGGTTAACGCAACAGTGGATTAAGTCGCGATTTTAAATTTACACTCATATTCATCCCCTTCCTAAAGGTTAGAATAATAAAATTTTTGGTAGCTCGCCATGCAACGTTAGGCGTTTTTTTCGTCTAATCCGACTGGAGTAAATTATTTATAAAATAATTATATCAAATATTTTTCATACATTTCGTATTACACTTGTATTGTGACACTCAGGGTATTAAGTTGTATTATACTTATATATACTTATTATACTGAATTCAATAATATAAGTAAACTTTAAAAATATAAATAAATTTACAAACCTATGCATAATCTTGGTCCTTCCCCAAACGGAATATGTGCATACTGATTTCTGTCATGTTTATTTTCATCTGAAAACCTTTCTGGATCAAATACCTTAGGATTTGGATAATACTCTTCATCATGATGTATTCCCTTGATTGGTATAAATACACGCACTCCTTTTTTAATTGTTACGTCATAACCTGGTACGACATAGTCTTCAACGCAAACTCTTGTAACGAATGGTGCTGGTGAATGTATTCGTAATGTTTCTAAAAAAAAATTGTGTTATCTTTATTTATTTAGCTTAATTAGCACTATTTTAGCTTAATTAGCACAACTACTTTTGAAATATAATCAATGAGTCGTGGGACAACACCCAAGAGATTAAATGTCGCATCGGAAAGGCAAAGACTGCATTCTTGACTATGAGTTCTGTGTTCAAGAGCCAAGACCTCACCCTAGAAACAAAAATAAGGCTCCTTAAATGTTATGTGTACTGTATTCTGTACGGAGTAGAAACGTGGACATTGAAGGCGGAAAATCTACTACAACTTCAGGCTTTTGAGCTATGGTCATACAGAAGGATCTTGAAGATACCATGGACAGACAAAGTCACCAATGAAGAAGTACTGCGGAGGATGAACACAACTGCGGATTTGGTCAACATCGTGAAGGGCCGTAAGCTGCAGTACTTAGGCCATATAATGAGAAATCAAGGTAGATACGAGCTACTTCAATGCATTTTACCAGGTAAAATTGAAGAAAAAAGTGCCCTGAGAGCATGGTATAGAAAGACTTCAACACAGCTATTTCGTATAGCAACCAACAAAGTCATTATAGCCAGAATGATCACCAACATTAGGAACGGACAGGCACCCTAAGAAGAAGAAGCACTATTTTAGGGTTAAAAATTTACAAGTTTTAATTAAAAAATAAAAACCACATACATAATTCTAAACAAAACATGGTTAATATATTTTTGTCAAGGTCTACTTTTCTTCTCTACTTCACTGACTTTCTCTGCAAAAATTCTATAAGTATTCTGCAGGACTAATTCTGAAATTGTTTCAGTTACGATTATTTCCATATGTCCTGACCAACCTACTTATGATGTAACGATGTACATCGCCAGTTATCACCTTCGGCATGCGTACAGAGTGGAGGTAACACTCTGTACACCCGCCAAATTCCACTTCCATCGATCATCATTGGAAATGGAAGACAGGCAACGATATAAAACGGTATAAGTTCAGTGCGAGTGCTGAGCTGGTAGGAACTTCACCGGGCTTTTGGTTATTGACCAAAGGCCAATCGTCCTGAGTGTTCTATCAGAGTATTGATCTGGGAACAAGTCCACTGACCTTAGGGTATTGACCGAAGACCAACCGCTTCTGCTAGAGTGTTTATTTAGTGGAAGCTCCCGAATCCAGACTTAGGGTGCTGATGTGATACTGATCCATTCCTTGACTAAGTGTTAATTAGTCACTTCCCACTCCTTGTTGGATCGAGTGCTGATCGATCCGTTCAACTATAACCCAGGTTATTCTTTCTCTTTTCTCGTGTGTATGTGTACACATTGTATTTTCGTTTATATTATTATGATATTACCCGTATTTATTTTTCGCAGAATATAAACAAAGCGCCGTCAATACAATCCACAAAATAATCTTAGCATTTTTCTGTACATCTTTCCAGCATATCTACTATAACTTTTCTCAATACCAAGATTTCAGAGTGGTATATTAATGATGATCTTATATCTTACTATCTTGTTAGTATCTTGCTATTATTGTTTTCAATCAAAATCGTGCTATTTCATAAGGTCAATTAATACTAGTTATCATTGAAAGATGACATAAAAAAATTAAAGAATTAACTCGCAACAATAGAACAAGAAAACCAGGAATACTGAAAGATGCAAATGGGAAACTTGTGTTGAATACTAACGCCAAATTAAAGAGACAGAGTACATCAATGAACATTCAAAGACAATAGAATAGAACAGATGGAGATAGAAGTAGAACAGGATATGGTTTTACAGATATTAAAAGAGAAAATTAAAATGGCATTAAAAAACAGCAAAAATGTTAAAGTCCAGACAAAATCCCTATAGAAATCTTAAAATGCATGAATAATGAAACCTTAGACATTATAGTAGACTTATATAACTCAGTATACAAAACAGGACACATACCGAAACAATGGTTACTCTCCATCTTTTGTGCTATCCCTAAAAATACAAACGCTAAATATTGCAGTGAATACAGAACAATATCACTATTAAGTCACATTCTCAAATTATTCCTGAAAATAATACATGGTCATATAAATAAAAAACTGGAAGAAGGAATAGATGATAGTCAGTTTTGGTTCAGAAACGGACTAGGGACCAGAGAAGCGTTATTTTCTTTTAATGTGTTAGCTCAAAGATGCATGGATATGAATGTTGATGTGCATGTTTGTTACGTTGATTTTGAAAAAGCATTTGACAAAATAAGACATGAAAAATTAGTCCAAATTCTAAAGACAAAAAACATAGACCACAAGGACTTACGAAAAATAACAAACCTCTACTGGAATCAAAGAGCACAAATCGTAATAGATAACGAACCCAGTCCAGAAATTGAAATCAGGAGAGGAGTTAGGCAGGGATGTATTATGTCCCCATTACTATTTAATGTATACAGCGAAGCCATTTTTGAAGAAGCATTACTATCTCAAAGTGAAGGAATAATAATTAACGGAAGATCTATTAACAACATAAGATGTGCAGATGACACCGTGAATATGGCAAGCTCTGCTGAACAACTCCAATTACTGCTAAACAAAACAATTAGTTTCTGTGAAAAATATGAACTAAAAATAAATATAAAAAAGTCCAAATACATGATAATAACAAAGAAAACAAATATATCAACAAACATACATTTGGGAAATGTACCGATAGAAAGGATTAATAAATACAAATACCTAGGAACTTGGGTTTCAGACAATAATGATCAAACAACCAAAATAAGAGCTAGGATAAAAATAGCAATCAACGCGCTAATTTTTACGTTAACCCTCACGCCAACAATTAGTGTAGTAGTGTATGGGGGTTTGGAGACTGAGACCTCGGAAGACCTGAAGAAGACATCGAAGAGGATATCGAAAGTTCGGCGCAATGATAATCGACGCAGTTTAACTCGGAAGACTGTTGAGTTTAATATTAATTCCTGTAATAGTATTAATCTTAGCTCTAGGTTTAATTGTACTAACCGCGAAGCTTTTAGGTCTAGGACGACAAGTCACACTGTTTGTCCGGTAAGGTAACTACCTAACTACGCAACCTAGGAAAGAAATCTGAACTAGCAGCATCTGACAATTCAATAATATTTTGTTCTTGAATCGATACTGTTGATTTATTGCTAAAAATTTTGATTAATGACGTATATATTATCCTACTTATGTGTCCATATGCACTTTATTGTCATTTATGTTACTTCTTCTTCTTAAGGTGCCTTCTCCATTACTGAAGGTTGGCTATAGCTACAGCAAATTGCTCTCTATCTTGAGCTGTTCTTAGTATCCAATGTGTATCCATACCTATCCAGTCTCTTACATTCTTCAACCAGGAGCATTTTCTTTTTCCTGGACCTGTTCTTCCTTCCACTTTTCCTTCCATTATAAGTCGTAGAAAGTTGTATTTTTCTCCTCTGTAAATATGTCCTAAATAACTCGTTTTTCTGTTTTTTATAAATCCGAGAGTCCATGTTTCCACTTCATTTATAGCAATATGGAATAAATAAACATTTTTACAAATTACATCCGATATGTATCGGATATCCAACGATAACGTAGAGTTTATTAGCAATTTTTTCATTCGTTGAAATGCGGATCTAGCATATTCTATATAGTCAATATATAGTCAATAATAACGGTGTCGTCTGCGTATCTTAAGTTGTTTACGTATTCTCCGTTGGTTTTTATTCCTTCTTCAATATTTTCGAGGGCATTTTGAAACATCTTTTCGGAATATATATTAAATAACAGTGGAGAAAGTATACAGCCCTGACGAACTCCTCTTTTTATTGGCAATTCTGCTGTCAGACGACTGTCTATTTTAATTTTATTTTAAATCTATTTTAGAAGCCATTTGATCCCAATATAGTTTTTTAAGTGCTAAAGTGTTATGGTCTATACCATGTTGTGTTAGGATTTCTATGAGTTCTGTGTGTTTTACTCGATCAAACACTTTTTCGTAGTCGATCTCGGCATTTTTGTAGTAATATCTGGAGGCCAAATAATGCCTCCTTTGTACCAAGCTCCATACGAAATCCAAATTGATTGTCGCTCAGGTTTCTTTCGCATTCTCTGTATATTCGTTGATGTACAATTTTTAGTAAAATTTTCAGAAAATTTTAGTGGTAAGTATAGAATAGTTCGACGGATCGTCACGTATGTATTGCCAAAAGGTCACTGTACAGTGTCTTCATTATTAATACATGTATAGTGACATATGAGATATTATACGACACTATAGATAAAAATAGATTTACTATAAGACACGTTTTGATTTATTGACTTAAAAAAGGCCTCTGGCTGAGTACAAAATAAACAACTGATTGAATCCTAATATACGACAAAGCAAATAAAAGGAAGTATACATACATAAACGTAAAAACAAACAAGCCGAGTACCAAAAAGGCATTACACAGCATTTTCGTGTAATTTGCTTTATTGACCTGAAGAAGGCTTCTGACTGGATACAAAATAAACAACTAGCTTAATTATAGTGTTACGTAAAAAATATATGAGTCATATTAAAAACCGTAAACATATCTATTACTAATATTCTGTTCATTCACGATTTTTTTAGGTATTACCTACCTGACAGACGATAGGTTCCCCTCCGCTATAAAAACAACAATCGACCTTTCTGGAAACAGGCTGCTATAAAAAACCAGTTCGAGACAATTCAGGTCAACCTCCGTCTGCTTCGCGAGAGATCCCATGCTGACGACATTTCTTATAAATAACGGGGATTTTCATTGAGGAGTAGTTAGTCAAAAGAAGATATCGCGATCGGGTATTTTAAATGTAACGCTTGCATATATAAATTATTGTAAGATAAATTAATATAAATAAAATTTACATAAATTAAATTCGTAAGTGTTATAATTATTGAACCTTTAGTAAATTAAAATAAGAACAATAAATTAGAATTAATAAAGACATTATAATGGCATATGACACATCAAATAAAATGACGTGAGACGTATAGTAAATATAATGTATCTAGCGAGCCATCAAAAAATATATATACAGGATATAGTAAAAAAATGATCAGACGAGACATAGAAGGGTACCAGATCATACTTTATTTCCAATTTTTATTTACATGGGTTTACATGCAAGTTTATTATTTGGACCTTCCGTCGCATGCGACGAGCGAAATTACGAGTGTATATTATATTTAGACATAATATTTTTTACTTACCATCAATAATCTGATTCATATACTTCATTTCGGTAACAGAATCGTAAGTGATTTGTCCGTTGTGCTTCTTAAGAACTTGGTTGATCTCATCCCTTAATTTTTGCTGAATATTTTGATTTTTAGAAAGCTCATATAATGCAAAAGCTATTGTTGTTGAGCTGGTTTCAAAACCAGCAGTGAAAAATACGAAACATTGCGCGATGATTTGGTCGATTGTAAGGGAAGTTCCATCGTCTTAAAAAATAAACATATTATATCATCTTTTAATAAATAAATAATATAGGTACATATATAATACTTGCAGATTTTAGAAACTTCGTATAATTCGCTACCTTGATAATAAAGTCAAACCACATTTTTTTATTATTTAGGTAAGCACATAGACCAAACTATTTTATTATTTACGGTATTACTTATTTTCAACAAATAAATGAATTATTTTTATACTTTATCGAACATTTTAACTACTTCTAATTTTATATAATTTTGTTTAATTTTTCAGTTTTATTTTTGATTAAATCGTATTTTAATCACTGATATAATTTTTTTTTATTTTATCTATTTTTATTTTGTTGTTAATTTTACTATATTTTCTTACCTACTATGTTTATTATATATTAAAAAAAGTAGTTTCAGAAAACATTCCGAATATACTTTAATTAAAAGAATGTTTACTATCGAAATTTAACCTTCCGTAAAAATGATCGATTTTTTTTATGTTTTATTTTGGTTATAATTGAATAAAAAATATATTTTCAGTAGCGTAAAACCTTTATTTTTTCTGGAGATTCATGCGAAATATTTATTTTTGTTTTCATACATATATACTATTAACATAAGCACTCTTTTTGTATGCAAATCCGTGGAAATTTAAAAATTTTGTGCAGAGGAAATATTGTGAATATACAAATAACAGGCCCGTTCCTAGGGTAGTGAGCGCCTGCGTGCAGGATTTTTTTGTGCGCCCCCATATTATGTTTTTAAGATACCTATATCATAAGATGTTCTTATGACATGCTTGAAAATATGGTATGAATGTAAAAAGAAAAATAAAATGAACCATGTTTGAAAAAAGGTTTTATTTTCAAAATTAAATGAAGAAAAAAGGTCATTTTAAAACAATATTATTATGTAAGTTAACAGTAAGAAAGAAAACCCTCAATTCGCAAATTAATAAGGCATTCTGGAATATAACATGAAACAATAACGGAAAGAAAATACTCTCAATGCAAAAAAACTTTATTAAATATTGCATATATACCAAGTGAAAAATAAAACAAATATTGGAATTACAACACGACACGTCGTGCTCTCACAGATGTAAGCTCATTAATCATTTCATTGTGATCAATGGCTTCACAAATTTTATTTTCAATTGAAATGACTGCCAAATCTGATAGCCTTTCTTGGCACATTGACGTTCTTAAATATTTTTTTATGAGCTTTAGCTTTGAAAAACTCCTTTCGCCAGATGCCACCGAAATTGGAAGGGTCAGGAATATTCTCAAGGCTATAAATAGATTTGGAAACAAGGATTGTAAAATTTTCTTTTTTATATAATTTAAAATATCTATGGGCGAATCCGAAATTTTGCCAGAGTCTGTGATTGGGTTAAGAACTTTGAATGACAGAATTTCATTATGCAAATCAAGACCATCAATATCTTTGCATACGTTTCCTTCATGTTGAATTTGTAAAGCTAAATCCAAATCCATACATGATCTTTTAATCAGATCAGAATCTAGATTTTATAATTACCCAAAAATCCAAATAAATCGTGGCACTTATCTATTCCCCCAAAGCGTCTTTGTAGGGATTAAATTGTTGTGTCCAAAATTTGAAAATAAAAACTGATCTTAAATTTTTGTTTTGGATCGAATACTGTTTCATCTGTACCTTCATACGAAAATTAAAGCTTCGTCTTTCTTTGTCTTAACAATGGAAATGTTTGCTCTACATCACTTTTTTCTGCTTCTGCTTCAGCCTCATTCATGAAAATCTCGAAATGTTTGTCTGACCTTTTTTCAGTGAAATAAATAATAAGATTTTTTATTTCTGTACGGCATTCATTTAAAGTTGTATTTGGATTGTGGACCATTTTACTTACTATATTAATTTTTGTTAACACATCATGCCAAATTATAATAGAAAAAATGAATTTGAACGTTTTAGTTTTGTCTAATAGTGACCTTGCTGAATATTTCGTGTTCATATCTCTTGAATTATCTTCCACCAAATCATGCAGACTTTTACAAATTTCAAGGAATTGAAACCTAAGAGGGCGAATAGCTTTGACTCTGCTTTCCCATCGTGTTTCACTTACTGATTTTAAAGTTAAGTTTGGTACAATCCTTTTTAAAATGTCCCATCTGTAGGGTGAAGTAGAAAAAAAATTGAGCAACTCCTGAATAATTGAAAAAAACCTACAGTCTTATATGAAATTTTAGCTGCATCATTGACACTTAAATTAAAAGTGTGAGCTGAACAAGGCAAAAACATTGCTCTGGGATTAATTTTTAGAATTTGAGCTTGCCCACATATTTGCCCCATTGTCGTAACCCTGACCTCTCATGTCATCAAGGTTTATTTCAAATTTTGATAATATTTCTTCTTTAAAAAAATTGAAGAGCCCTTCTCCTGTAGTATTTAAAACTTTGAAAAAACCCAGAAAGTGTTCTCTAATTTCGACTTCATATGGAGAACAATAAATGAAGCGAATTATGACCGTCAGCTGCTCAACATGGCTAGCATCTGGAGATTCATCCAAAATAATTGAGTAATATTTTGCTGTTCTAAGGCAACTCAGAATTTCTTTCTGAATATTTCTTGACAATAAATAAATTAATTCATTTTGGAAGTGATTGATCAGGTAATGATGCATATTTTGGCACAACCCTTTAGACCTTCGAATATTGCTCAGGTGTTCCATCATAATTGGATCGAATTTAGCAATCATTTCAACTAATTTCAAAAAATTGCCATTATTAGTATAATAAAGATTTGTACTGTCACCCCTAAAAGCTAAATTTTGGTCAGCTAAATACTGCACACAACAAATCATTCTTTTAATGATTTCACGTCATCGCTGTTTTTCAATTTCATAATATTTTTTATATCATCATTTACCGGGTTACTTAACTGAGACTGTGAAGGGAGTAGCATAAGCGTTTCAGAGGTGGATTGTTGTTGATCGTCAATAACTATTGGCCCTGCAACCAGTTGCTCTTCAGAAATTTGTTTTAGAAATTTGTTCAGCGATCCACTAAGTTTTTTTGCAGTCGGCGTTTTCTAGTTTCGGCCCCTGATAATTTTTTCCTACTAAACTCGCTCATTTCAGTCGATTCTGAAGAGAAAAAATACGGTATTACATACCGAGGTGGAAAATATTTCATTTTCTTCAAGAGATTAGTTAATTAAGAGTATTTTAAGACGAAGTCAACTTGAGCCTCGAGACAAAAATAAAATTTCCAGCGAGGTACAAACCTTTACTACTATGTATACTATTTTACTACTATTTTGTTTACAGTCATATTTTTTTAAAATAAAAATTAGAAAACGTTATTTTCATATAAAGTTTTTACCGGGGTCTAAAGTAAACAACCAATTTTCACCCAGGCAGAAATTAAACAGGTAATCAATTTTTATCTGAAAATCAGAACAGTCACAAAAGGTGAACTTTCCAACTCTCAAAAATGTCAGAAGTGATGTTTTACGTATATGGTTGTAAATAATAGTATATTATATACATTCACAATATATAATATTATACACTGAGTTGAAGTGTTTAATTCTTATCAAAAGAAAAACATGGTTTACCGAGGCGTATAGCGTCGAGACAGGAATGAAACTTTTTCACCGAGGTTTGTATAGGTACTGTTGTACTGTAAAACACTGACTTTTTTTGTTTTAGAAGTGAGAATATTTTTTTAATGGTAACCAAATATTTGGCGCCCCTAAAATTTAGCGCCTGCGTGCGGGGCATTCATTGCATACCCGCCAGGAACGGCCCTGACAAATAATATAATATGAAAATAAAACACAAATTAGTTCAAACGTAAATCAAAATAAATATCATTCAGACGACTTTTACACGTTTATCAATGGTGACGATGCAAATTACAAGTTACGATAAATATATTTTAAAGTAGGTAACTGAATACTGACTGAGTCATCTATTTGATAATATAAAAATAATTTAGATATATGCTTACATATTTATGTCTCTTTATACAAATATCCACTTCGCAAGGGCTTAAAAAATTTGATGGATCAAATTTAACCGGTGCCCGTATCCCACACGAGCGCGTAAAAAATTACCAGTAAGGCGCGCCTGTGTCTGAGACTTGTGTGTACTTGTGGTGTTAAATTACTGTTTATTTATAAGGTATTTTATTTTTGTAAAACTAAAAGATTTTATTTGTCATTGTATATCTGGTTTTGTACCTTTTTCAAAATGCGCTGTGCAGTTGCTTGTTGCAATAGTGACAATGAAGATGAAATCTCTAGGTTTCATACATGTCCTAAAGATAGTTTGACCAGAAAACTGTGGATAATATCTTGTTGTAGACAGGATAATTTTAATTGTAATACTGCAAAAATTTGTTCCAAACATTTTAAAACTGAAGATTACCAAAAAAATCTACAACAGGAACTTTTAAATTACGTTTCTAAAAAGGGTCTAAAACTCAAAATTCAACGACGTAAGTCTAAATCTTTATTTTTATTATTAAAAGTGAAACTGGAACAAACCATGAAGTGGAGATATCCAGGAGTGGCTAGTATACCTGTTGAATACAAAGCACGTGGTGGTCGTGTGTATTAAGGTATAAAAAAATGCTTATTAAAAGCTTAAAACTTTTATTTTACAGAAGATCTTTTCGGAATAAACTCATTCCATCATCAGTTTAATAAAAAGTTGTCAAAAAAACATTATATGCTATAAAACCTCGTCTTCCGATCCACCTCCTGGGAAAGCGATGATTTAAAAATTGACGTACTTCACGTGTGTAATACGAAGGGGCTCCATCTTGTTGAAACCAGATATTTTCACTAGGTAAATTTGGATTATTGGCATTTGGCTACATATTAGCAAGTACAGGTATACGTTGATTTCTCAAAAAAATTAAAAAAACGTTCTCCTGTTAGATTTTCTTCAAAGAAAAAAGGGTCAATGATTCTGTCATTAATGATCCCTGACCATACATTTACTTTGTGAGGTATATTGCGTACGTGTGCCTCAATTATCCAATGTGGGTTTTCTTGACTCCCAATATCTGCAATTTTGACGATTCACGCTACCATGTATAAAAAAATGTGGCTTCATCGGAAAAAAGGATTTGATTGATGAAATGTGGATTGCTGATGCATAGGTAAATCCTGCATAATTTCAGAAAATTGAAGCTGGCGATCGGGATCGTCGTACTTTTGCTAGAACGTGTGATAGATACGGGATACCAGATAGGCCTGCAGCGGCTTTAGCATCGGCTTTGTTGAAGAATATGGGAATAAAAGTAGCCCAGTTTTTGACAAAAATAAAGTCAGACGGGAAAGAGTAAAGATTCGTAAGGAAATTTTAAGCAAAAAATAAGATGAAACCAATTTATTGCAAACGCTTTATTTTGATGAAAGAATTGACAAGACCTATTTCATTGAAACTAGTGAAGGCGGGAAAAAAACATTGTCGTGTCCATAAAGAAGATCATTTATCTATTATTTAAGAACCAGGATCAAAATATGTAGGGCACGTCAAACCAATATCAGGGAAAGCTGTGAACATAGCTAATTCAATCATGCAGTTTATGTCAGATAAACAAATTAGTTTGTCGGAACTGGTTTGTGTTGGATGTGATGGATGTCCAACTAACACAGACAAAAGTAATGGTGTTATAAGAATACTGGAAACTAAACTAGACAAACCTTTACAATGGGTGGTGTGTCAGTTACACATCACTGAACTTCCACCGAAACATCTTTTTGAATTTTTAGATGGTCAAACATCTGGCCCTCATGGCTTTCGCGGTTCAATTGGCAAAGCGTTAGCTGACTGTCACAAACAAACTCCCACTAATTTTGAACCGATATTGAGCCAAGTTGAAGTGCTGTTTCCAGATTTAAACAAAGTAGAGTTGAGTATGGATCAGAAATATTTATACGACATATGCAAAATAGTTACCAAAGGAGAATCACCACCAGGATTTGGGGATGGAAGTCCTGGAAAGTTGACTCATGAACGGTGGGTGACAACTGACCATCGTGTACTCCGATTTTACATTGCATGTAGTTCATCATCAGATCAGTTAGAAGATTTAGCCAAATGTTTTGCCTTAGTTTATGCTCCAAGCTGGTTCACTATCAAATGCAATCACAAACTGAAGGATGGTTCAAGCAACCTTTGGAAAATGCTGGACTTTTCATCATATATGTCACACGAACAATAGAAAGTGATTCATAAGTGCATTCAAAATAATGCATACTTCGCACACACGAAAATATGCTTGTGGCAATGCTCTCCGATGACAGGGAACACATTCGTCAGCTTGCGATCAGATGAATATTAAAAGCCAGAAGAAAAAACGACAGAGAAAGAGTTCGACTTTTTGAAATTCCTAAAATAAATGTTTCTGCCAAAGAATACATAGATTTAATTGAATGGCAGTTTATGGATGTAACTGAGCCCCCTGTTAACATGCATCTATCAGGAAAGGACCTCAACAGAATATTGGTTCACAGGTGTGATATTCTTGCAGAAGGTGTGCTGGAAAAATTACCGACACATACTCAAGCTGTCGAAAGAGCAGTAAAACAAAAGTGTGCGATGAAAATAAAAGGGATGAAATAATCAAAACTAGACTATTTGACAGAGCAATACGGCCTAAGTTTGACTCTAAAAAAGAGTTCAAAGCCTAAGCAAAAACAACAACGTGCTCTCATAGTTGGGTGGAAGGGAGGGCACGGGTGGGACTCGACATGCAACCACCTCCTCGTGGTGAGTCCTAGGTAGTTCATTATGAACTAACGAAGAGTTGTATAAATGATGATATATTTTCCTCGATAAATGTACAGAAAAAAGCTGACTGTAGACTTTTCAAAACAACTAGACTTCAAATATTAGAAAAGATAAGTGGTATAAAAATATTGTATTTAACCTTAAAATCACGTAAATTGGTGGTTCTTGCGCACACTGGAGATGTTGCATAAGACAAATGAAACTGTTTGAGGTGATTCTATTAGTGAACATATATAACGCTACCCGATCATTCTATCTCATTTCTTAATGTGTACAAAATGATTTCCAAAAAGTTACTTTTTACCAAAAAAAACTGAAATTTTAAGTCAAATGCGCAGACTGAAGATATTTTTTTTTCAGAAAAAATATTTTGCAGTTTTCTATTAGGACCCCAAATGCAACTTTTAAAACCTACCCCGTTTCGATCAGATAAAAAAATATTTTTTCGGCCCACCCTAATGGACACGAAAAAGAATTCCACTAAAGAAACATCCAAATAAGAACTAAAATTATTATATACAAAACACTGCTGAGGCCGCTCCTTACATATTGGGCAGAACCATGGACTCGCAGAAGGATGAAAATTCGCTAAAACGAACAGGGGTAGTGGCGCAAAAGTTATAACTTATAATTACATTAACTCTTTAATGAACCACACATCATAGCATTCATTAGAACACAACGACTTAATAAGCTGAATACATAATACGAATGCCAGACAACTCGATTGCTAAAAATCTAACAACAGGGACACTGCTAGGAAGCAAAAGCAGACCAAACCGACCGCGAATTAAGTGATTAGATGGAGTTGAGACCGACTTAGACTCAGAATATGGCAACAGATCGCCAGAAACCGAACAGAATGGCGACGAATCTTGGAGCAGGCCAGGACCCACAAAGGATTGCCGAGCCAAAGGTGATGATAATGCTAAATCCAAAGCCATTATAAATAAGTTTTTCCGTATCGGTTACAGTCTGACAATCAATAATTCTTGATCGGGCAGACTAACCCCACAAAACTAAAGGACCGAAGTTTCCTAAATTTTCATTTCATTTATTTCGATACAAAAAGTAAAAATAAACGTAACCTACCTTTATACTCCACATCTTCTTTATTATTTTTTATATTAATTAACAACTGCATGAAATCATTACGATGAACTTGGTTTTTTTCTCTAGAGCTAACTGTATCCCTCACAACTTGACTAAAAAAGTCAACTGCCTCTTTGTCCAAAATTGTTATGCCAATCAATCGTCCAAAATCAGGAAAGTTGTTAGCTATCATGAATTTTAAATTTTGTAGAGGACTTCTGCGGAATATTTGTCGACCGTATGTTCTAAATGGATTGTTTGGATCCTTAAAACTGTTACACTCTAAACCAAAGGCGCAGGAACCGATGATATCCGTAGAAAAGTTACCTAAAATCGTAGTAATATTATATTATAATTTATGTATCTGCATTACGCGCTTTCGGTGTTTAATTATAGAATATTTTTAAACAGAATAATACCCCCGGAGAGGCCACCGTGAACGACGAAAAAATGGAAAGGAGGAGCTAGTAAACCAAGAAATGCAATTCCGGTGGAGAGATGTGACGAAGGCGAGATGAGACTGGAGATGAATTTAATAAGAAGTTAAACCCACCACGAGTTGTCACGCCGAGGATGATACTGGTTATGAATAATTTTGTGTAGCGTTGAGTAACTACCTTGTTTCTAGTTAAATTCGTCCACATGTATTTTACAAAAAATCGCTTTTATCCTAACCGTGGAACCTCGAGCAAGTACTGATCCGATTAAAACGAGTTTTTTACTTACAACAAAACTTCAAATTAACATTGTTTCTCTTATTTACTTTTTAATATTGAATAAACGTTTTGTTTTTTAAATAAGCTAATTTAAAAAACGATTGTTATAAATTTATGCACAATGTCAAATATGCATCAATATAAAAGGCTAGGAGAAACCGCACTGTTTGTCCGGTAGGTTAACTACGCCACCTAGGAAAGAAATCTGGACTACCAACTGACATTTCAATCTATATATCTAATAATAATACTAATAATATTTGTTACATATTAATATAATTAATAATACGATTAATTTTTTCGCCAAATTGAGAAAAATATTGGTTGATGTAATTTTAAGATATTATTTAATAAAAAGAATATGAATAAACTTATGACTTATCTCTGACAGATAAAATAAAATAGTTGTCAATAATACGTAATTTGACGTGAAAAGACGGGTACATTTTATTTTATGAACGAATCTGATCTGATAAATAGATAGATAGATAGAATGATCTGACAGATAGCTATCTGTCAGACAGGCCAATATTTCTGGAGCTGATAAGAGCGGCCCTTTCATGCAACAAGTTTTTTATTTTAAAATTTTAATTTTCAACTCTTTTGAAAGTTTGTTGATCCTAAAATATTGACTGCAAATTTGGTGATTCGTAAAAAATATAATATAAAACTAAAGCTTTCCCAACAAATGAATTGTCATACTAGAATTACGCTGGGTTTTGTACGTACATCGATTTCATAAGACGACTTAACGCAAGAGTTTAGAGATTATACAAAAGGGATTTATTTGTTATGAAGGTTGTACAACAGACTACACTATAATTTTGTTTACTTCTTAGCCTTAAACAGGAGGAAGTTAGAAAACATTGAGTGGAGTGACTGTAGGTGACAATTGATTGGATCTCCTGTGGCATGGTGAGGGTCAAAATTACTATACTCTGCTTATTAACCAGGAGGAGTAAACCAAAAAGACAGGTTCACACTCAAGAAAGTTACTAGAAAAGTCACCAAATACATCTTCTTTTTTTGTTGATTATCTCGGCCTTGCAGTAATCGAGTAATCAATATTGGACAACCTCACACGTCAATTTTAACCTAACTTTGTTTATTTATGTTTGAATAATAAAATAATTTTTTTCAATTCACTTCCAATAATATATTACAATAAAAAAGGACGTTTTTCACATTTGGTCCATGTATATATATATATATATATATATATATATATATATATATATATATATATATATATACTTCTAGCGGTTAATATGGGCTCCGTACTAAAACGGTATTATACTAACTCCAGGAGAATATACGCCGTGTATATTATTATCTGAGTAGCGCTTTATGTAGACTCCGACCAATACGTCGGATCAAGTGGACTCCGTAATAGGATCAAACATTTTTGGGATCCGTATATAACTTTTCCCGTACACTTCGTAACTCCTGCGATGTTGCCAATAATTGTATTAGTGGTAGATTTTTAAATTTTATAGGTGGTACATTTTGGAACCTATTAATATGAACATCGAGTAGCGTAATCGTCTAACAGTTTAAGAAACTCTTCTGTAAGATCTTTATAACTTTTCAATTACTGCAGTTTATAGCGTGTAATATTTATTTCATGAAGTAGTTAAAATTAGACTATAATAATTTATAAATTAATCTTTAATATTATAATTTTTTGCTGTCTAATTTCAATATGTTGATTTTTAATTAACAAAATATTTGATGCATTAAAGTCGCGTAGCTATTTTCACCAAACATTCAATTTTAAAGCTATTAGTATAAAAGTCTAAAAAAAAGTATAAAAATCTAAGGAATTTAATATGGATACACACGTCAGTGTGCTTTTCTCAAGTCTCAAGTTTCTCGAATCCATCAATCATTCATTGTATTTCTTATACTTTCATTTTAATCCTCTCCAATCAAGATTTTAAAACAGGTTTGCTCCATTAGTCCATTTTTATTACTTTTTGTCACTATTTCTCCTTTTTCATTATCATCATTACGTGGCGCTACAACACTGGGTGGGTCTTCGCTAACTACAAATTTTCTCCAAGTTGATCGATTTTCCACGAATCTGTAATCAAATGAAATGTTAATATTTTGAGATATAATTGGATGTTTTCTCTCCATTGCTTACTGAGACGCCTAAGCGGCATTCTTTCTTCTGTGTTAACTTCCTTCCATACCAGTTTTACAAGTTTGATATATTGGCGTCTATGCATGTGTCCGATCTACCTTAAGCGATTTATTTTTCCAGATTTATTAAATTGGTCTCTTCTGTTGATTCGCTTGTATTTGGTTTTCATTTCGTTGATTTTTCGTGCTCTCTTTACTTTATTGAAGATGTTTGCGGACGGGAGAGTTTCTTATGAGATCTATGTCATTAGCATATGCTAGGAGTGAACAATGGCGCCGATACATATGTAGTTAAAATTTTGTACACCTATTTTAACCTGTTTGTTTCCTTATTATCCATATATGAGTTGTGACCGATGTTACAAACTCATTTACTTTTTACAAAGAGTCTATAAATTAGCTACAGTTCTATGTTTATACGTCCATAGCTACAGTTATAACTATACAAATCTGACTCGAAATATCGTCTAAAAGTAACAGTATGTAAAATTTAGATTTTTAGTCAAAAGTAAATACTTTGTCATTTTTTATGGAGTTCAACGTAGAAGCCTTCATGAAAATTTAAGTACTAATAAGACCACCGCAATCGGGCCAATCGGACAAACCTTGGGTAATGAATAATTAATTAATTGGTTAATTCTTCAATCACTCGTCTAATATGAGTTTTGTCAAATCGGTCCTTTTTAGGACCAACTATTCTATAGAGATAAAGTAAACTATATCTAGAGATAAAGACAATTCATAAGCCTGATGGAAGGTGTAATAAATAAAGCAAATACTATATTGAGTAATTATATGAGTGAAAGACGCTTTCACAAATCTGAACATATACCTGAACCAATAGTGTCAAGAAATCCTTAAACTCTGCACTTGCTATAAATATCTTGAAGATAGTTTCTATCACACTTTATTATTCACAGAACTTGGTTTAAAACTAAATTAAAACCTAATACTACTATAAGAATGAAATGAGAACCAAAAAATAATATTCTCCGCAAACTTGTCAGCTAAAATAGGGAGCACATTCTTCCACCCTTAAAACGTAGACTTGAACTCTATGCTTCTGCCGAATATACCTTGCTAGTATGATGACATCAATACATACTTAATACGTAGATTTAGCTGTAAATTAGTCAGTCAAATTCAGAGTACCTATATTAAGACTCACATCCATACATAAGCTCTACAATATCGTAGCTATTAATGCACCTAATATCCGAAGATAAGTAGCTAGAGAACGAAAGGAACAAAGTCTAGATTCGTAACATCAACTCCACGCATACCAGCCCATTTTCAGAAAGAAACTTCCTGATGGTAGTTATCTTCCTTAAATCTGCCAGGAGGACTCTGGTTAACCTATGTGAATATGGGGTGGTACAAGATTCATGACACTTTCTTAGTTGACTTTATCATCCAAATCGGTCTTTTCTGAAGGAAAAGGTTTATTTATTTGAACTAAACATGTAAAGTACAGTCAGTAAGCTATTACTTATAAAGTAAAGATCATTGCAAATTTGACACTACATCCACTTATATTGATTACATATTACCTATACATACTAGATTGAAAATATTCAAAAATATGTAATGATCGTGAAGTGATATAATTCTTGTTAGATAAATTAAGCATTCTTCCCTTTTTAGTGCACTACTACCCATTTTTACACAAAAATATCTATTTTAGCACTATATTTCGAGATAACCGTCTATCCAGAATTATATGTAATACACAGATACAACTAGAAATAAAATAATAAAAAAGCTGTATACAAGATATCATAAAACAAGAGATGAAATAAAAGAAGTTTTTATTAAGAGGATTCTTAAATAAAACGTATAAAGACATACTCACGTTAACAAAATACATTAGGAAATTTCCGCATATGAAACAAAATCCAACTTGGTAATGAAATCCTTTTGTATCTATAAAGCTATTTTTAGAGAAGCACGTACCTACCAAAAACAGGTAGTTATTAGTATACATATCTGTTACACACTGTAATGCGTATGAATGATAACAAAAATTAGATATAGTCCATATAAACATACTTTATTGAAAGAGGTAAAAGTACACTGCTAAGAAAATACATTCTATTTCTTATACTTTCATTTTAATCTTCTCCAATCAAGATTTTAAAGCAGCTTCACTCCATTAGTCCATGTTTGTTGCTTTTTGTCACTGTTTCTCCTTTGTCTTTATCATTATCATAACGTAGCGCTACAACACTGGGTGGGTCTTCGCTAACTACAAATTTTCTTCAAGTTGATCGATTTTCCACGAATCTGTAATCAACCGAAATGATATTTTTTTAGATATGGCATTTTTCTGTGCTAACTTCCTTCCATACCAGTTTTATAAGTTTGACATCTTGGCGTCTATGCATGTCTCCGATCTACCTTAAGGGATTTATTTTCCGGAACAATATCGTTATAAGAGCTTTCTTTATTTAGTATGTGTTCTTATTC